TGTAATCATAATTTACGACCTTAAACCCTGCATTGTAGAATCACACCTCAACTATCACATCCTAATACCCTCCTTTTGAAACACAGCACGTTGGCAAATATAAAATCTTTTAATAAATTTAAAGTCACGTACCAACACATACATTTCGGATGTGACGGCCATTCCAGTTATATAAAGGGTCCGTGCCCGAATAAAATTTCTCTTTCCATCTCTTGCACTCGTTAATCATCTGACGTTTATTTTTCAAAGATGAAAAGTTGCTCATATTAGTTATCTTTTAATTTTACTGACGAAATTAGTTTTCGGATACGGCTAGAAGAAAAACGTACGTACATATGTTGCAGTTGGAGATTCGACTGGAAGACTGAATGGTTACGATGAACGATAGAACGGGTGCAATGGATTAATACGTTGCATACCTGGTACGGATTTTTTATACTCTTTTTTTATCGTTTATACAGATTCCTTGAAAATGATATCAGTGCTGAATTTGTAATAATTTTACTTTGTTGAAGAATTTATACACCTAGGTCATTTTCGAGTTACTTCATATTTTCCAAATTGTTAGAAATACTCCCTAAAACTGGTACAGAGGGCTTGAGAATCGAAACTGGATTTTGCTATATCTAACAATGTATTACGCGTTTCCTACCTCCACGCCAATATAAGAAAGTTTTATAACAGCAAAAACTTCGTTTTCGCCAACTAGAGAGGAAGTACTGTAATTACGAAAAATTACGAAACAGATATTCGTATTAAACAACCACCAATATGGGCAGCGGCAGCGGCCGAAGTTATAGACTCTTCGGTCTCCCGATCCGTCACCGTGCGCTGCGCGGGTTCGAATCCCGTCCCAAGAGAAATGTTTCTCTTGGCTATGGATGTGGTGATTGTCCGTAGGTGGTAGAGGGTATCTGACTGTCGAACGCGGAGGTACCACCCGGCGGATCTCGTAGGCGGGGCCGGAATGTGTGCATGTTGTGCTGCATGTACACGCACGATACACATACACTGAAGATAGGATATTGCGCGTGTGGACGGAGCTTCGTGACGTCACCCGGAGAGTTATCGGCTCGTGGTGTTTTTTGATGGTTTTGTGACTTGTATTAGTTATCCATACCTTATATACCCTGTGTGGTTGATAAATTGATAAAAATGCGGTGTGCTGTTGTGGGATGTAATTCCGACAATCAGTCTAAACGGAATCTTTGCAAAGACATGAAGTTCCACAGTTTTCCTCAAGACCCAAACTTTAGCAAAAAAATGGCTACATCTCACAAAAAGTTAATACAAAGTCAATGTAAAGAGCGCTAGGGTTTGCTAGAAAATGCTCTAGAGGATCTGAAACGACGCTTCGGCGTCCAATACCTGTTAACAAGACGTCTTAATCAAGATATGACAGAAAACTTTTTCGGAGTAATTAGGGGTCTTCATGACCATACAAGTCCTCTGGAGTTTAAGTATAGAATAAGGTCATATATGTTGGGGCGAAACGAAGGCGCATACTCAGAGTACCTATTGCAGAGGATACTCCAGACATTCAACTAACCACTAACCGCATCATTAACGAGAATATACCGAATGCACCTAAAGTATCAGCTGACTATACCGAGCAAGTTTTAGTGGAAGAAATAGATGAGCTCGAGTATGACGGACTGGAAAATTTGGCCGGCTTTATTTGCAATAAATTGCAGGATGAGAGGGTGGATTATCAAAACCTTCCGCAACTTTCATGAATCAAATTGAGAAGCTGAACAAGGTATTCACTACATTCAATGGGGACGGAATAGTGACAAAAAAGCAAAATTTTATAGGTGAACTTCTGTTGAAGAGCAGCAACATTGACTGCCCTGAAAAAGCTAAAAAACTGTTTTTCAGGTCAAGGATTTTCTTCCGGATCAAAGAATTGAATAAAAGTTTGCAGGACCAGAAAAATCGTAAAAGGAAATGGAAAAAAATTGTTGCTTAGACTAAGTCATTTCCATTTATTGTTATACCACCACCTTACTGCAAAAAGAAGATAACTCCATTTTTCTACTTTTCGAGTTGCATACATTTTTACACTCACATGTACTTAGGATGTGCTGTGGAATAAGGATAAATGTAGTACAGTATTACGACATGAACATGTTAATCCTGCTCCACAGAACATACTAAAATATAGGTAATGTAGAACAATGGAGGTATCTTGTTTTTACAGTGAAGTGATGATACGCTCTATTGTGGAGCTAGAAGCCGTTTAAGCTATAAATATTTTATTAAAATCCACCCCATTTTGTTTTGTATAAAATTTTAATGTAGCCAGTGTCACACCACTAAGACGAATCCAACGACACCTCATATATGAAAATCCGTCCAGCCGTTTGGCCTGTAGGTGAAAATATGCATGTTATCCATATCAACCCAAATGATAATCACTCTCTGCGTGACGTCATGCGCGCCGGCGGACGAAAATCGAACAGCGGAGCATACGGTCCTGATGTTAACTTCGCACTTAGTTTTACGTGTTGCCTGAACGTCATGAGGCTGGTTATAAACCTTTGGCTCTAATGTGATCTAAAATCTGCTTCTGAGATGGCATTACTGGAGGTCTAAGTTGTAGGTTGTCTGTGTTGATGATAATTACATTGGGTTCTTGTCTCAAATACACTTAATTGAGATTCAAAGCTAGTTGCGCATCCACTTTTTCTTACCCATTCTTGAAATTACATATACAAATTTGCTGAATTTCAAAAATGAGAGAGATAGGAAATAACTATATTCACTGTACACTGTCGAATTACAAGCCATATACGAGCCCCTTCCCATTTCAGTTGGCCCAACTATTGAAATCTTAGTTTTTTTCTTGTCAAACAGAAATAATAAAAATGTAGTAGGGTGTTATAGGTTTAAAATATTAACAATGAATATTTTGATAATAGATAGTACAAAACACCAACTTTATCACTCCCTAATCAAATTTGCAGCATAAAAATAACACATGCTGCAATTACAGCATATCAACCTATTTTCATTTCAATGCAAAATAAGTCTATAACGCATAGGTGGCTGTGAAAAATAAAAGCCATGACAATTGTTTTTATTAATCACAGCTGTCAGAATACGTTTAAAATAGTTTTGGGTAGTTAAGGTTTTCAAAATGGGTAGATAAAAGGTTATTAGTGAGAAAATTCGGTTACTGATAATGAATTTTTTTAATTCTGGGAAATCAAACTCAGAAATTGCAACTTTGTTAGACTTATCGCGGTACAGTGTGAGAAATATTGTTAGAAGATATAACGTAATTGGTTCAGTTAATTAATTAATTAAGCCACGATATGTGAAAAAAAGTAATATCACAAATGCCGACCGAAGAGCATTAAGAAGAATAATCGTGAAAAACAGGCGTGCCAATTATTTACAATTAAGTGCTCTGTGGAGTGACGCTGTTGGAAGGAGAATTTCGAGGTCCACAACTCATAGAGAGGCCAACAAACTGGGATTTAGTACTTGCAAGGTAAGTTTTCTAATAAAAAAAAGTGAAGCAAAAACCCTAAAGTTGCACAACTTGTTTATAGGCCAAAGAAAAGCCACTATTAACTCCACTGCAAAAGAAAAATCGTTTTAGATGGGCTAAAAAACATAGACAATAGACACCTCAACAATCGTGTGCAATACCTGTACAATGGAGTGATGAGGCCCGATTCGAAGTTTGTGTTGGTGACAGTCGCAGTAGAGTTATTCGCAAAAAAAATGAAGCATTCCATGTTGACTGCCTGAAGAGAAAAATGAAATTTCCAGCATCCATTATGGTCTGGGGCAGTATGTCATCAAAAGGAGTAGGCAAACTTTATTTTATTGATGGAAATGTGGATACAAATAAATATTTGGCAATTTTAGAAGAATCGCTTTTACCAGTGATGGAAGAATGTTTGACATCCGACCAAGATTTTGTGTTTCAGCAAGATGGTGCAGCGTGCCATACCTCAAAAAATGCTATAAAATGGATGGAAGAAAACAATGTACCACTTTTGAAATGGGTTTCTAGCAATCCAGATCTGTCACGTATTGAAACTTTGTGGCACGAGATGAAAAAGGTTCTACGACAACATCCTGCTCGTACAATCACCGAACTGAGACAAAAGCTTCAAGAAATATGGGATTGTTTTACACCAAATTTTTGCCAAAGCTTGATTAACACGATGCCCCAAAGAATTTCAGCCGTAATAAAAAATAAAGGTGATGTTACCCAATGGTAATCTTTTAATTTTTGCTTTGTTAACTTTGCGCATTTATTGGCACATTGTTTATTTGTTCAGATGTTCTATTAGTTATAGGTCTAAGTGATTTCAAATATGTATTTTTTACGACTAGAGTGTATCTAAAATGTTTTTGAGAAAATAAATTGTTTTAGAAGTAAATAGTTTCATCATGTTTAGTTTATAAAGGCATATTTTGGTACAAATCTTGAAATGGGCCAACTGAAGTGGGATGGGGCCCGTACATCCTAAAAGTAATTATACACAACGCGGGCGCGGTGATGATTTCCCGTAATTCTCCTCAGTTTTTCGTAATTTATAACTTTGAACATAACCTCTCTTCAGAAAGCACAATATAAAAATAGCCCGTCGCGCACAGCCAATAGATATACTTCATTGGCAACATATTCAGTAATGATTTTCTAACACAGCAAATATCACTGATTTTATAGATTCACATGCAGACCAATATCCAGACAAGAACCATTTGGCCTCACAAAACATACGCAACCAATAATGCGTTTAGTTTAGTTGAGTGATTCCTCCTTAGATGGACGTTCACAACGATCCTAGTGAGCAAACGTGGAATGACTGTTTGCGCCCTAAAAACTACCTAGTTTGCAAGATGACATCTTATAGGTTTTTTTGACGTTTTATAGGTTTTCTACATGATACCCATGCCGGTAGTGCACTGTGCTACACCGTGGACTCGCGAAAAAATGCTTAATGCATCCCATAAAATGTCACTTAATTCTGGGACACAATGTATTTCCGTAACCTCAGCTGTATAGGCAACCAGTAATGACGTAAGTCGCCGATGACGCGGTGACTGTTTAGAGGTTAGAGGTAACCTAAATAGTTTTTATTTTGTTTTTGTCAAATTTGAAGAAAACATCACTGGTTAATACAAAGGATGGACAAGGAAGTTGAAGATACTGTAAAAGAAGCCAAACTGTACCTAAATAAGTTGACTTTATTGGACAACGACTTGGAAGCAGCTATAAAACAAATCACTACAACATTTGAGGAAACAAACAAAAACATCCGGGAAACTTTTTCAAATTTGAAAGCCACCTTGATAAAGATATTGGACAAGAGAGAAGAACTCTTGCTGAATCAAAGTAAAAAGGTAATGCATACTGGTCGCAAAACATTATGTAATAGAATAAAATTAATAAAGATATCTATTTTAGATAAAGGGTGAAGCAATTGTACCACTGAATGACTGTCGAAAAGTAGTGCAAGAAAAAATGAAAACTACAAATAAACTTATAGATACTGGCAGTGTTATAATGTCTAACCCTTCAAGCAATTTTGATTGTTTTATGAAAGATGCTAGTCTGTTAGGTAGTTTGCCTGAAGTGCCACAACTTAAAGAAGTGCCTTATATTAGTTTTCATTCTTGTCCATCTAGTGAGAATGAAGTTAAAAACATTTTGGAAAAATTGGGTGAGGTATCAAGGATTGCTCCTGCACAGGTAACATTTGAAACATTGTTTTAAAGAGATACTCAGCTAAACTTCCTCACAAAATGAACAAGCATGAGTTATAAAATAAAATGTATAACCATAAACAATTTATTAGCTGAGTAAGTTTTAGGTAACACAAATGACTGAGAAGCCAGGTGCTATACTGGTTGAATGGCAAATAGTTGAAAATGATGAAAGAATGACTGATATACAAGAATTCAAGTTACAAAGAGCTTTTGGTGATGTAACAAAAGATTTACATTTGATTGTGAACTTTAATGACTGCTATAAAGGTATGTGTCTTGTTTGTTCCTTTAACCTCCACTTCTTCAAAGAACATTTGTAGATGCATACACTGAAAACCAAATTTGTCTGATGGGTTGTGTTCAATGTGTATGAGAGAAAAATGCCTATAGACACATATTTCAGAAAGAGACAGAAGCTGGCTGGATAGCAAAGCTCATCACTGCATTGCATAGCAACGCTGACATGGCAATCTGCTGCATTGCCCATATATTACACCAGTTCCTTAAATTAAGATCCATGTTGGAAATATGCGTTAGTTTATTCTGTGTGCCCAAATAAAGGTTTTAGTTTGAGAGTACATATTTTTGAATAATGTTGAATTGGTTTGGGATCAGTTCCGAATTGGTCCTAACGGCGCTTCATTAGGTCGAAATGAAAGGACAGGATTGCCACAAATTCTGAAACAATGCATGATTGGTTTGCTTGACAACACAACATTGCAAATTGCACGACCGTCTGCTTCACTTATGCTCCTCAGCTGTCCTCTATCTCTTTCTAACATATGTTGATGCACACTTCCTGCGCTTCGCTCTCATACACATTGAACTTAAGCCAACCGAAAAATTTGGTTCGCAACATTATTTTATAGGACCAGAAACCCAACATTTGGTTAAGGACCTTCAACCTGGGCAACCATACTCTTTTAGAGTAGCCTGCAAGTTTGAAGGGATTGCTGAATGGTCCGCGTGGTCATTACCACAAGTATCTTCAACAAGGTTGAAGCCCTTTTCCTGGGAAGAAAATGCTTACTTTGAAACAACTGGTGAAAATAAAATTGCCAAGCCTTGCAAAGATGATGCTCCAATAATATTTTCTAATGGTGCTCAGTTTTTTGTAGGACATTCTATTGAATTCACGGTTAGTAAATATTTCATCAAGACATTGCTCAGTTTATATTACAGGAATAAAATAGTATAGAAATTTCATTAAAAATACTTATTAACTATGGTCACACAACTTTTATTTTAGATAAATTTTTAGTACTAGTTTTTATAATTTCCTTTTTCAGTTTTTAGAGACAGATACAAAACCCAGCAAAGCCACTATTGGACTAGTGACAGAAAGAACAGTTTCAAATCTTCGCTCTCTAAAAGAAGGATCATTTCTTATTAACCAAAGTGGACTGATTCTAGTGGATGGTGTAGAAAAGTCGACAGTGTTACCAGCATTTGCAAAGGGTCAAAAGGTAACAATCAGCACTGAAAGTCCATGTTAACCCTCAAGTGGCGTCGTGGGGTCTGGTGTACCCCCAGAACTTTTTAACTCCATGTAAAACTTGCAAATTCAGCATTCAAGCCTGGCCGCGCCATCTACCTTCAAGTTAGTGCACTCATAAGCCACGCCGGCGCGCACGTCAACTTTGCTTTAGTATTGCTCTGGACAGCGAGCGGTAAAGTTCATTTGGGGTCTGTGTGGCACCACGACGCTAATAGTGTATTATTTTTAAAATGGCGGGTTCTTCCAAAAGCGTGCGTTTTGGGGACTCTAAGTTTGAGGAAACTCTACGACAGTGGTATGAGGAACTTGAAAGTGAGTGTAGTGACTATGAGGACTACAAAGACGAAGATTTTTCCCCAGAGAGTGACCATAACTCTGATTCTGAGATGGAAGATCAGGGGGACAATGCTGAACAACAGAAAAGTCATTCTAATGGTGAAGAAGAAGAGGAGATGGAAACGACGAACGGAACGTTTTATTTTGGTAAAAATCGATACAAGTGGTCTGCTGTTCCGGCCAACCCAAATTTGAATATCAGAACAAAAAAACACAATCTGGTGAAAGTTCTTCCGGGGCTGAAAGGACCTGCAAAATGTGGTGATGTCGCTGATCCGTTAAAAATATGGAGCTATCTTTTCACAGAAGACATGGAAAATGAAATAATTCTGCGGACAAATGAAAAGATATTGATATTCCAAGATAAATTTAGTAACGCTGATCGAACGGAACTGAGAGAACTAACAAAGGAAGAATTTAGAGCGTTTCTCGCTATATTGTATTACGCTGCAGTTTTCAAGTCAAATGATGAAGACTTTCAAGAAATGTTTGCAACAGATGGAACGGGACGAGACATATTCAGGTCCATTATGTCATTGAAAAGAGTATATGTGTTGCTCGCATGTCTAAGGTTTATTGACTAAGCAGTGTAAATGAATATTTTTAGACTTATCCAATTGCTTTTGTTTTAGGTTTGACAATGCAGATGATAGAGAAGCACGTAAAGCTTATGATCGAACTGCGGCAGTCTCTTGGATATTTGAGCGTTTTGTGAAAAATTGCCAAGACTGCTATTCGATAGGAGAATTGTGTTGTATTGACGAAATGCTGATAGGATTTCGCGGCAGATGTAGATTCCGCATGTACATACCTAATAAACCTCGGAAATATGGACTAAAAATTATGGCCTTAACAGACGCACGGACCCACTATTTCTATAATGGTTATATTTACAGTGGTAAGGATAGTGATGGTGTTTCTCTAACGAATGAGGAGAGACGTTTCATGAAACCAACACAATCTGTGTTGAGACTGTGTCGTCCGATTGCTAATTCAAACCGAAATGTCACAGCAGACAATTGGTTTTCATCCATAGAAGTCATGAATGAATTAAAAAAAAGAGGACTCACCTATGTTGGCACGCTTAAGCGAAACAAAAAGGAGATACCTGTGCAGTTCCTTCCAAATCGGAGAAGAACTGAAGGATCTTCCATTTATGGTTTTACAAAAGACTTCACTATCGTCTCCTACGTCCCAAAAAAAGGGAAGGCAGTTGTGCTAATATCATCAATGCACCACACCGAATGTGAGGACAAAGAATCTGGTAAACCCGAAATAATTTCCTTCTATAATCAAACAAAAGGCGGTGTGGATGCACTAGATCAAAGTGTACCACATACTCTACAAATCGGCGAACTAGGCGATGGCCAATGACTATTTTTTTCACAATATTGAATATTGCGGGTGTCAATGCACACATTTTACATGGATGTTATAAAAACAACCAAGCGCTAGAGAGAAAAGCCTTTTACAAAATTCTTGCAAGACAACTTGCAGAACCATATCTCAATGTAAGATTATACAATTTTCGATTACCTAGGGAGCTTCGTATAGGTATCAGCAGAGTACTAAACAAGGCTTTACCTCAAGAAGAGAGGGGAGAATTAAGCAATCAGGGCCAGAAACGAAAGAGATGTGGTATTTGTGATCGGAAGAATGACAAAAAAACAAAAATGTCGTGCAGCAAATGTTCTCGACCCATGTGCGGCGACTGCAGGGCCTATGTTTGCAAGAATTGTATTTAGAAATATGTAAGTTGTAAATAGTCCACAGTTTTGTTGAAAATAATATATTTTAGTTAAAAAGTTTATTTGTTTTAGTTGTCTGTTCTGTATATAAAACGAAAAAATCAATATAAAAATAATCATTCAATTTTTATATTTTTTCTGTAAAATCTTATGTTCTTGTGTCAAAAACCCATGAAAAATACATTATGTTACACTTTTTAGCATTTTTCACTATTAATAAAAATAAATAATGGGCTTGCATGATTTTATTGCAGCTTAAATGATCACACATTGAAACAAAATAAGAACATAACATATCCTTTTTTATTTTCAAAAAAAAAATGACCAAAAAAATGGGGTCCAGTAGACCCCAGGACGCAGTTAACGATAGAATAAATCACGACACCAGTTGAGGGTTAAGATATTAAATAAATTATGGTACTTTATGGCAAAGTGCTTATTTATGACAAATTCTCTGTATAAAGTGAATTTATGAAGAAATTTATAAAAAAACGTATTTTTTTCAGGTTTCCTTCTCTTCAACCCTGGTTAACTCTGACAAAGTGCGAGTGAATATTGATTCAAATGAAAAAAGAGTGACTTATGATTGGCCCATCAAGCCTGAAAGTAAAATGTATTTTATTGCTCATTTTTCTTCAACACACTGGAAAATATTTGTTGAGTGAATTTAAATTGTATTTTGTTTTTTGTGCAAGTTTTTAATATGTTCAGTATTAGAAAAAAACAGTTAAAATATGAAATTGTTAAAGTAGTCAAACAAACCTGACTTGCTTAATAAATTGAAATAAAAGTACATTACTAACAATGGTTAAAGTCATAATTTGATTTCCGCTCCTTTCCATAATATTACAGGCTTTCATAGCAACAGAGCTAGTGAGATGCAGGTAGTAAGGGGTCTGATGGGTTTGCAGATGCGATCTCACTGTTGGTTCTTTTGAACTTGGTGACACCAACTATTTGACAACTATCCTACCAATTACAATGGGCGCCTGTAGGAATTTTTACCGGTATAAGCATATAAAAGTACTCCACAAAATTTTTCAAAGCAAGGACAGAAGATTTTGAGAAGTGCTGGCCCCAAAAACGTTTTTAGGTGGAAGCAAATTTTCACTGGGTCAGCCAAAATCTTGAAGAACACGCAAGTTTTATAATTTACGAAAGATGTGTTCTGTCATAGCTACATGTTATATATTGAATGGTACTAACTTATTTCTGCTGTTCTATTGAAAACATATCTGGAAGACGTTGGTATCCCCCAAACCTGACAATATTAAATGTAGAAAACATTTTTACACACGTCACTGTACATATAATTTTAACTTAACTTTGCTAACAACTACTATATAGTGCTTTTCAAAAAGGTTCCGCCCTACTTAATTTGCCCGTTAACCCCTGTTAAGAAGATGTAGAACGCGATAGCCTCATGGAGAGGGGAAACAGCCACATGTTACCGCATTTGTAAAGGTTTAAGACTGACTATTAAGGAATGTTCGACGAGCAGGCGGATCACTATTGCGCGCTTTTCTTACACATTAAAACGTCAGTGGTATATGGTTTTCACTGTATACTAGATACAACAGTTTCCGATATGACCAATAGTCCAGGCCATCTTATAGGTATGAATAGCTGGAAATCATTTTATATCAAATGTAAATGACGCTTACCGTAGAAATATGCCCAAGTACTTTCAAAATAGCTTCATCGCTGGTGGTTTGCCGCGCCAGATGACTTCTGGTGTTAGTCATTTTGAAAACGTATAGTTTAAAAGGCATTAATATCGAGAAACACGAATCTTCTTACCGTAAATTCCAAGCTATAGTTCGCTACCGCGTACCGCAAAACTTTCGACTTCGACTAGTAATGTCTTACAAAAACAGTTGAATTCCTAAAATCAAAATCTTGCGTACTATGATGCGTAAGTTGATTTGATGTCTCTGTCTTACATATAGCAAAACGACAAACAGGAATATAATTTAATGTTGGCGGCTCTGAAACAGTGGCGTGGGTTTGTTCCATTTAACACGGCACATGGCCGAAAAAAGGATAGGTGGGAAGTGTTAGGAAAATTATAATTTTCAGCGAACCACATTATTTAAAACTCGGAATATCCAGCCGCTGAACTAAAGATAGGTAAAAATGTAAATCTTCTAAAAGTGGCCATGATCAATAGCATGACATTCCAGAGGCGTTGCTAACGAAGGGAAAAGAGCGGGAATGTCAGAGCTTTGGAGTGTACACAAGTAGGGTGACGTTTTATTATTATTATGACGTTTTTGGCGCTCTTTAATGTCATCCTTGTGATTTTCTGTGGAATTGATCCCAGTTAAATTTTCAGGAGGCCCATATTTATTTGTATGTAGGATAAATAGCACTGATATTAGTGTCTCGTTTTCTTTTTGCTGTTATTCAACTACCGCACAATGCGGCTTCGTCTAGACCAGAGGTCCTCAAATTTATTTCGTCTACTGTTTGATAATCAATTATATTCTAGCGCCTCCCGATATTGTTGAAGGTGTCCGTCTCGAGAGGGGGCATCTGCGATTTAAAATTTAAGAGGGGGAAGGTGGCTGCATAAGTGCTTCTGAGAGCGAATATCCTTTTGACAATAGGAAGGTTATCCATTTTTTGATTTTTACACAAATCGAGAGTTTGTTATTAAGAAAAATGAGCAAAAAATATTGGTATTTACGTCGACTAAAAACATTTCGAAATCAAGGATCGGCGCGAGGCTGGAAAACGTACCTGTGCGCGAGACTAGACCGCGTGACGTCAGTAGCCAGACACACCTCGCTAGATGGCCCGCTGCATTTACCATTCTCACAACAACGCCCCAGTAATCGGTTTAGAGTAGTTCGATCTGGTACGATAGATTATTGTTAAATGTTGTGAACTTTGACGGTGTTAAACGTCGAACAGAAAGTGGTGTTTTGTGCCAAAATGTACAAGTACGTCAAGTACAACACCACAAAAAATTATTGTGAGTGTTCCAAAAGTTGCCGCACAACGTAAAAAGTGGTTTGACGCAGCTCGACGGGATGTAAAATCAGTTTCTTCCACGTCGACCATGTACTGCTGCGAAGATCATTTTGACCTGGAAAAAGATATGGAAAACTATCTACAATACAAGATGAGTACCGTTCGACCCCGGATGAATAATAATATTGCACCTCATAAATTTGCATGTCAACTGGGTAGACAATTAAGTTCTACGAAACGAGTGTTCAGCGAAAAAATTGCAAGGCAGAAAGACATCGCCAAATATTTGCAGCCAGCGGCGGCACGCCGGGCGGGACCCTCAACCGAAAAGTCCGAGCCTGAGGGCATGTCAACCAAACAGGTACATTTTAGAAGCAAGTCAGTTCAAATCTCGCAAAAACGGAAAGTAATGGATGTTGCTGTATCACCAATAAGAATTCCTGCGCTTGCTGAACGGATTTCAGAGCGGCCAAAAAACGTTTGCAAGTGGAAAGTGAACGGGCAAATCTTGAAAGTCCCGCAAGAAACATCCGGATCTGATTCGTATGAAGCCAGTGGAAGCAGTACTGAAACTAGTGACAGCGAAGCTGGCCAGCTTACTGCCGAGATCGTACTCATCCTAACCGCAATATTAGTCAACGTTTAGAACCTGGCTTCATTGCCCATCCCCTGAATTCAGCCCTAAACTTTGTCATTTTAGTAGCTATAAAATTCTATATTGTGACTGCCTCCCCCCTAATTTAAGTATTCCGCAATAGACCCTAAAAAAATAAGTTTCTCTCTACATCCCTGGAATTTCTCTTATTGAAAACATATTAGGTAGGATACTTTACTTCAGAATGGTGTAATAAAGCCTCATTATGCATGCAAAAAGAAGCAATTTCGGGGCTCTTAATAGGCGTAACAAGGTAAAAAGGTATGTATGATAATTTAAATTCCATATTTTACCTAGGAAGAAAAAAGCAGAGATAAATGGCCTTCAAAATTATTGTCCGGCATTATTATGTCTTATTATTAGCTTTCAATAGACTAAAACAAAGCAGGATCAATTTTTGCGGAGAAATACAAAAAAATACAACCCATTGGAGCTAAACAAAAAAAATTAGCTTCATATAGGTACTACCTTAACACCGCTGTTCTGATGTTCATTTAAATTTGCATTATTTGCCAAAAACTACTACATCATTTCCACATTCACATGGGGTAAATTTCGCGAATCAGCTTTCTGATAGGTAAGCTTGGAGCATTATGCTAGCACAAATAAGTAAAGTACACAAACGTCGGTCCCAGTTTATATAAATTCGTATTCGTACGTTTTCTAGCCTCGCGTCGATCCTTCATTTTAAAATCCTTTCCGTCGACGTAAATATTAATATTTTGCACTCAAATTTCTTTGACCGTTTTTTAATAACAAAATCCCTCGATTTTAATCAAAATAAGGGAAATACGAAAAATGTCGAACCTTCCTATTGACGGCGGGTGATAAACATTATCCATTGCGCCGCCCCCCAAATCAGTTCTTCGTCCACCAATTTCCTTTAAGCTCTTTACATCCCTCCTGTAAATCCCCAGCGCTCACAAAGGACGTTATCGCTCACAGAAATACTGCTCTAGACACAGACACGTTCCACCTGAGACAACATCAAAATAAAAATCTAATTTGTATCTGATAATTTATTCAACGTTTCTCCTTAAATATACAAGAAAGTAAATTAATATTCATGATATAATCGACAAAAGTTAATAAGTATATGCTACATAAATAACCAAAACAATATTTAGTATAGTTAAAATGAAGATCACTAAGGTTGAACAATGAACCTTTCAAAAAAAATTTAAAAAGCCGAGTTGTTCAGTACAGCTGCTCGAAATTCCTACATTATAATGCCAATATATATTTTATAGGCAGTAAGTCACTGGACGTGGAAACACCTTACCAGTTCTAGGTCATATCATCGACTGAACAGCACCAACAAAAAGTATAACTATCTCCTAGTTTATCTACAAAGGTTCCGAAAATAGAATTTCCCACATTTAGCCACAAAAAGATATTCGTATTTGCTATATTAATTTCATGGACATACAAGTATATTCCCCCCTAGTAGCCCAAACTAGAGGTGGCTGATATCATTATTTTTGAATATCTGTCATACTAGGAGCTGCGCATAGGGCATCTGTCTCGTGTGTACACTGCGCAGAAAATGAATTTCAGATTGTGCGCATGTCATCAAGTCTGTAAACAAATCTAATTTTGTTGGCAAGGACTCGTAGACGATCAGCAACTGAGCACGAGCACATGGTTATGAAAAATGCGATTGATAATCAGATTAAACTTTGATTGGAACATAGGAATAACCATTCTGGCTTTGGAAAAACATATGACTGTAGTATAGTTGGTAGTCTGTGTCTATGTCCTCATTAACTGCAAATGAAGATAGTTAAATAGAAAACAACTGAAAAATTCGGCAGTCATTTATGAAATCCTTTCAACTGTTGTTAAGAGTTCAGTATTTGCAATGAAAGATGTGTTAAGCTATTTATGTAGACATGTTTGTTCTATATTCATAGCAATTGTTGACATTTTTCAATGCGCAGACGCTCTACGCCATGTTCTACGCCCACTAGCTTTCCGAGAGTAACAGTCGTGATTTAGAAATATCAGTTACTAAATCACAGTTCGTGAAATATCTGCCACCACTAGCCCAGACCTCATCACAATTCAACATAAATTTGGAAAAGATGCGCAAAGGGAGCTCTGGCACATAGATCTTTATCCCAAAAATACACAGTCATGATCATTAAATCGACATAAGAGTACAGAAATATTTACATTTATACAAAAATTGCGAAAAAAATAAAAATTCTACTTTCGGAACATTTCACGTTTCACAGATTCATCTCCTTAAGTTGTTTGAATATACGAGTAATAAATATACTTTCATTTTTCTTTAAAAATGAGCAAAAAGTAAATCATAGAGCTAAAAAGATTTATATGAAAAAGTTAGTTTCTAATTAATATGTAGACACGTAGAATTGTCATGCATAATATATGATAGTTTAGTATGTTTCCACACAAAAAAGGGTATGATTTGTAGATCAAAACAATATTCACTATAACAAAATCATGCATTTTGCCAATTGTATACTGCTGCAGAGCACAAAGTTTAAAAAACAGATTCTGGATTTTTTTGTTTTGCAACAAATCCTCAAAAACACAAAACGTACAAGTCCGGTACTGAAATTGTTTGAGCAATTATACTAGTATATTTTTATGTAAGAACCACGAAACCCTATAGTCTACATAGGTTTTTGACATTTGGAAACCATGTAATGAATTCAATTGTTCAAATGAGTCTGTAACATTTAACATATTTTAATGCTTTGTACTGCGTCCCACAATTTCAGTAGTCGGACCAACGTTAACCTGTTCATACTCCACATTCACTCCTGCGCATTCAACCCATCCCCGCAACCACTCTCGCTCTTTTCATTTTCCTTTTTTCCATCCCCCTCGTTCGACTTTGTTTCTGGCTCTTTTTCTTTCGCGTCTTTCGCCTTCTCGTTTACTGCCCCACTCCTTGAAGAGGGGCGTTGCCTGTTCTAGTTCAGTCTTTGCGACGCTGGCTTCCTTCGACGGCGGCGACCTCCGCCACTACTTCCTCCTGGAAAGAATCCGGGCTGAATTAGTAGGTTTCCGATAGTGACCATACCAAAGTAATTGCTTGAAAACAATTGCAAAGGGTTGCCATCTATATTACCAAAAAGTCAGTCTCAAAAAAACGCAGGTTTCCGATTGAAAATACTGCTAGTTTCACTTGCATATAATAGTATAACGGGTACGTCTCACAAAGCTGAAGGAATAATTCCAATAACTTGAAATTTAAGGAAGTTGTGATTTGAAGTTTGTGGGTCTTCGGCTGCTGCGCCACGGCACTGACGCGATCGGACGACATGACCGCCCTTGCATATCGCATTCATCCTAAGCGCTCAAGCTGACCAGTCGCAATATACGAGGTATGTAAATTAAGTAGTCTGATTTTTTAAATTTTTTTTATTAAAAAATGATTACAATTTTGTATTGTAACACTAAAAACGACTTCCTTCTGAAGCCACACAGCGCTGGAGACGGTTCTTCCACTCTTCATAGCAGTGCTGGAACTCCGATACTGAAACAGCCTTTAGCTGGTCGGTTACAGCCGTTTGAATGTTTTCGAATATCCCAAAATAAATTCGCTTGTGGTGATTTTTCAACTTCTGAGGTTTAGCAAGAGTTTCCATAGCACTGTGGCCAAGTTTGAAGTAAAACCTGATAGCACACCGTTGCTCGAAATTGATGTCAATCATTTTAGAACACAATAGAAAAAAAACTGTTTCACAAAAAAATCGCTACCGACAACCAAATGACTCGAGCGAGTTCAAACTTGTACTGAAGGGGATCATATGCTCCCTTTCTCTCAACCAAGTCCGGCGCCGCGCCTCCAGTGTTGCCAAATCGAACGCTACCTTGCTGTGAGATATTACAGATATAGAATAAATAAAATGGAAGGTTTTCATCTCAAATAGCGGTTTAAAATAACGGCTATGTTTTCAAAAAATGTTTTTATCGGCCGAATCACACAAATAAGTACTGCAAACACAGAACTTTTCTCTTTCCAGGAAACTGAGCCACTTTTTTGCTCTCTATTATGCTTTTGTTTTTACCAATCAATGATACTTACATTTCTGCATCTTTTGAGTAATTATGAAACTCTTTTTTGATGTTATCTTTCTCCATGCTACAAAACACTTATTGATAAATTTTAGCAACAGGAATAGCCGCAAACATTTGTACAAGCACTGTTTGAAAAACCTTATCTTGCTTGACGAAGGTTATATTCGAATTACAACTACTTTATAAAATGTCTTTAAAAAAAGACGAGCTGTCATGTATGACACAATGCACTGACCCCGATCGCACAAAATGGCCAGAACACGTTATCTAAGAACCACAAGTTAATATTTTCCAATTTGAAGTGTGCTAACTATTATTCTTACCGTGAGTGCTAAGCCAATGTTCGTAATGGCGCTCATTGGCCAACCAGTCCTGGTACTTGTACCACCACTCTTCCCACTTTATGTAATCGTCCAACGTGAGATCCCTGAGGTAGCCCAGTTCCTTGTAATACTGGTAGCGAACGCGAACATCTTCCCAGGAAGCAGTGCGGGATTGGGCGGCAGTCAACAGCTTGTCTGGGAAGTGGCCGGACGGTATCGGTGACATGCTGCAAAAATAATATAAGGAAATGATAAAGTACAGCAGCCTTTTTGTTTACAAAGACTTATCCGCTCATATCATCAAACAATCCTGCGCAAGTTTCTGAGGTGCCAACCACCAACCTATCTAATCTAATCTCCATTATTATTTTTTGTCTACCAAATGGTCAAAATGTGAGGGAAATCAATAGAGCAAAATTTTTGTAGCTACATCCTGCAATCTGATTCAAAATACGAAAAGCATTTTTATTACTTTTATTCATGGGATATTCCAAAAACCAAAAATACTGACCAGGCGCGGATCTAGAAAATATTTTTGACGAGTCGCTAAGAGCGGAGACACAGTATACGTACAATGGATTGATCTGAAGCCGTTCAGGGTTATTAGGGATACATTGACGTATAAAAAACATTCTCATTCTCATTATTAGTCCGAAAAATGAAATCAAATTTCCAAAACAAGGCAAAAAGTGACTTTATTACTTTTATAAAATCAACACTACACAGATTACAAACAAATTTTATGCGAAATATATTCCAGTTTCCGGAAATACATTCTCTGTCCGACCTCTGGTTACAGAGATATCAGTAGACCCCTTTTCATTCATATATCTCAGCGCCAAATGATCGTTCTGAGATCGTACAGGATATTGAAGCTAAAGAAACAGGCTATCATGATGGCCTAACAGAACAGTAGTCATTATTTTGGTAAAAGAAACGGTAAACTAATAAGCAAATGATCACTTCCACATCTGCTTACCTCCTGGTAGGGCTGCCGTAGAGATACTCCTCTCCCATCATAACCTTCATACTGCCTCCTGTCTTGGTGATGCGCATGTTTTCAATATCGCCCCTACGTTCTCTGTCCGCCGACCATTGCGCTATCTTGCTGAACCTTTCAGACAGCGGCATGCTCGTGGTGGCCACGATGCAAGCCGGGGGCGGGGACGGGGACGAAGCAGCACTGTCTTCACTGCCGCTGCTTTCTGGCGAGCCAGGGCGTTTGGGGCCAGTGCGTTCTTTCTTGATACGCTTCAGAAGCATCTAGAAAAAAAAAAACACACACTGAACATGTCAATCTTATGGAAGAGTGCCGTTTTTGTACCATATAAAATATTCAAATTCTGTAGTTTGTTGTTCTAGAAATGGGTATGATAGATTTACTAGAATCGATCTCGAATTATTTCTTCGGTGCATAGCATTCTGCGCATTTTGAAAACAAGTCGATAAAACTTATAAGTTAGATAGGTTGTCAAAATTTTTGTTTATCAAATTCTCCTTTTTTGCATAGTTATGATTTTGGAAGCGTCAGAATAGTTTGAAAAACTTGGATACATTGTTTGTCTGGATCTTGTATCACTAACAAAAAATCCCGTTCATTTTGGGTAGTGCAAAAACAAACTGACATTGAAAATAAAAAGACCCCCAAACGTCATTATGTGCTTGCTTTCAATACATTGTTAAAAGGATTTATCGTTACACTAAGTAGCCATTTTAAGCACTCATTTCCACTCAACTTGTTTCCTCAGACTTCGATTTAATCGTTTAGTTTCATGAAACATGTAAAATCTTCAAAACACTGAGACTAAATATTTGAACATCAAATAAGGTATTTGCATTTTTGAATGTTCTCCTTGCTAAATATACAGGGTATCCGCAAAGTTGGGGTTTTCCTTTACACGACGTGTAGATCTTGAAAATATATACACCAATGTCTTAAGGGAAGCGAGATAAAGGGCTCTGCAACATCAAAAATATCTGAATACCGTCCTGTAGCCGCGACATCCCCGAGTGGTACTAGGACACTAGCTCAACCCGACGACAGAACTGGGTCGGGGTCAGTGTGTCAGGTCAGTATGCAACCTTCAACCGACGGTTACGGTCACGCGTGTAGAGGTAATCGCGTAGACGAGAATCCCTCAACAAGCACTAGAGACGTGGCTAGAGAAGTGCAAGTATCAAAAACTAAAGTGTGGCAAACGCTGCGTGAAGAGGGGCTGTATCCGTTTCACGTCCAACGTGTACAAGCCCTTCAACCTGACGATTTTCCAGCAAGAGTGCGGTTTTGTGCGTGGTTGTTGCATCAACATGACAATAATCCGGACTTTTTGAAGTGCATATTGGTGACAGACGAATCTACGTTCACGCGTAATGGGGTGAAAACTTTCGCAACACTCATGTTTGGTCAATAGAAAATCCGCACGCTGTCCGTCGGGCACATTTTCAACAAACATTTTCGGTGAATGTTTGGGCTGGCATGGTGAACGGTATGCTCATTGGACCATTTATTCTCCCAAATCGATTGGACGGGATGCAATACCTATACTTTTTACGCAACATTTTGCCTTCCTTGTTTGCCTGCGTCTGCTCGGTAGCGCATCAGCTGATTTCATTTTCTGTTGGAGCGGTATGATTTCGGGCAGAGACGTACTTAGCCCTTCTCGTCAACTGGAGAGTGAGTACTTTTTCCTTTATTCTTTTTTTACTTGGTCGCCCTCGTTTCACTACACATTATCTTTGTTATTTCAAGGGTAGTTGTTTCTGAAAAGGAAAACCCTAACTTTGCGGACACCCTGTATAACAGTATATTCTGATAAATATCAAATATAAACTAAATCTGTCTATAAAAATCTTACCGGTTTTTGTTTCTCGCCCGCCGCAGTCGACGGCTTCTTCTTCGTTCCTGAAGAAGCCGTCGGAGGCGGCAACTTCGAAGGGCGTACGCCCCTCACGTCAATCACTTCCCCTCCCGCGCCTCTCGGCCTTGGTGGGGGCGGCTGTCTCCTAGGGTCCGTCGGCCTATCGGAGGCCGGCAAAATTTTAGGGCGCGGCATCGTGGGCGGTGTCATAGGCCGGCCGACTCGTTTTGGAGGCGGTGATGGCGGACGGCCCAGGCGGCCTTTGACCGGAACGTGAGGCGGGGAGAAAGATCTTGATCTGTGGAGAAGAAAATGGTCAAGGTGTTACAAAATAAACGGACCGTTGCTGAAATTAAAATTTCTCGTGAATGTATTCGTCACTGCTTGACATAGAGATCTGCAGGACGGGTAATTTTCTAATATCCAAGTATTTGAGGTCAATAACGATCTAAAATCTATCAGTACATATGCAAAAATCATAATCTTCAGTTGAACCCTTCAAAATCAAGTATTTTCACCAAAACAATTTAGAAGTGATTCGAAAAGAAACAACATACATTTAAATGGTGACTTTATTGAGGTAAGTGAATCAGTCAAAAACCTAGGTATCATAGTTGATGAATGTTTCAAATTCATACCACATGTGAATAATATGTTTTTAGATTCTAGGCTAAGTTTTCCTAAATAAACAATTTCTATCAAACCAAACCAACTTTGTGCGCTTCTCTGATGTATAAAATTACTTATTGTGATATAGTTTATGTTCGATTTTAAGACTCCACTTCTTTCTTGCGTATCCAAAAAATTCAAACTCCTGTTGCAGATTGATCAATAACTTAAGAAAGTATAACAATATCAGCTCTTATTTTAGAGACATGAAATGACCCAGAGTAAAAGAAACAGGGTTACACTTAGTCACTTATACCATAAGCTTTGACTCCATTGCTCCATTTTTAAAGGATAAGCTGATACCTAGGAGTTATATTCACACAAGAGACGTTCGTTTTGCGGAGACACTCACAGTGCCTCTCCATAAGACACCCTTCTTTCGTAAATGCTTCGCATACAACGCAGTTATTCTCTATATCAAACTTCCACGAGCCATAAAATTGCTAAAGTATGACAAATTTATAAAAAAACAGAAATTTTGTTTGGATAAATATACCTGAATTAGTTGTCTTTTCACAAAACTTTTCAATGTAAAATTTGCAATACAATGTAGGTCTTCACATTAATTAATGGATGTTTCAGTCACCACCCAGTTATGTATATTCACCCTGTAGAAATAAAAATATTTCCCAAGACTGTTGGCTACAATTTTTGTGATCAACTTTTCTAGATATAATTGTAGTCACCGTTCTTGGCGGTTACATCATCTTCGCCATATGAAATAAGTAAACAGATCGAGTCTTCATACCATGGGCGGAACACTGCGCAGAGTAATCTTCAGCGCATCTGCTACTCTCTCCAGTATGCATGAAGTGGGTAACAGGGGGCCGCTGTTTTCATTCTCTTCCTGGAAATACTCTAATAAATTTAGCACGAGCTGTCGGGCTTGATCGTATTTCCGGGCACTGTACAATTTTATATTGAAGATAACTCGAATTGCACGCCGATGTCAAGTAAGTTGTCACTGTGACAAATATGATTGAAGGGCACTCATACGTAACGATAAAGTTTTCGAGACGGAGACACTCAACTAAAAAACGTATGTCTTTGAGCTTACCGAACATTCACACACAGCATTGTATGTATGAGGGAGATGGAGATATATAAAGGGATAGTGCTAAACTTTCTTTGACCCGCCAAGAATGGTGACGACAACTATATCATGCGTAATAATGGAGTTATCGAGCGAACCTATACTGAAAACTCACCCTTTACGAGACGAGACACTGGGCAATATATTTTATATCTTTTTGTTGATATCGAAATATAATATAAAAATGTATTTCTTACCTAGATCTCACTCCACGGTGATGTTTTGGCGAGCATACTGAGCAAGATTCGTCAGAGCAGCTGCTTATGGAGCTGTTGCTGGGTGACCTTCTTGGTGACCTTGGAGATGGAGGACGATGGTGGGGAGGCAAGGGAGATGGGGGGCGACGTGCTGATGATGAACGACGACCCCGCGATGACCTTAACACAAAAAACAACATCATGTTTAAAGACATCATGACGTGAATATTGAACAAGAGCACCGGATTTGAATTTGCCGCCATTTTTTTTGTACAAATGGTATGGTGTTTACTTGATGACAGCTGTCATGTCCAGACCACGCGATTAGACGTCATGGAGCAGTATTCGCACAAGCAACGTTTAATTATTGTCAAAACTCACTACAAAAATTGAGAAAATTTCGCGGAAACAGTTCGCAAATGATGTACAATTTTCGGTCGCAATAATGCGCCAAATGAGTCGAAAGTTCGCCGTTTAATTATAAAGGTTGAGACAAAATTCACATTGCTGAATGCGAAGACCACTGTTCGTCGCCGTCCTGGTAGGTCAAGAATTGAACCTTACCAGACCCACTCTGCAACGAATTTTGACAAAAGATCTATGCTTGCATGCGTACAAGGTTCAAATGACGCAAGAACTCAAGCTAACGGCCCATGCGCAGCGTTGATTGAGCGCTGGAGCACCACCAAATTGATGCGGATTTCTCGAAGAAAATCAATTTCTCTGATGAGGCACATTTTCAACTGAACGGGTACGTCAATAAGCAGAATTGCCGAATTTGGAGTTCTGAAAACCCTCGTGTAATAACCGGGCAACCAATGCATCCAACGCGAGTTACCGTTTGGTGCGCATTGTGGAGTGGCTGAGTGGTTGGACCGTATTTCTTCGAAAGAGCAGCTGGAACTGCGGTAAACTGTTAATGGTATGCGGTATCGCGAAATGTTAACCGAGTTTTTGTGGCCCCAGTTGGATCGAATTGATGTGGATGATATATTCTTCCAACAAGACGGTGCGACCTGCCACACACTCGCGAAACAATGGTATTACTGAGCACCAAGACCGTGTCATCTCTCGGTTCGGCGACCAAAACGGGCCTCCAAGATCGTGCCATCTAACGCCAATGGACTTCGTCCTCTGGAGCTATGTGAAGAACAAGCCACAAACAGTCGGACGTCTTAAAGAAGATATACGGCGCGTTATCGACGAAATAAAGCCACAGTTGTGCGAAAACGTTATCCAGAATTTTAAGAAAAGACTGACTCTGTGCCGGAGGTTTCATGGTGGCCATTTACCAGATGTAATATTTCATGTTTAATCGCAACTATTCCACTTCATGTTGAAATATGAATGCTTGCTTAATCCAAAAAGAAATTATGGGTGGTGTGCACCAAATGAGAGGATTCAAAACCAAGTTTGTTGCTGTTAATATATGAAATTCGTGATGAAATTGGTTCCATATACGATTGTAGTAGACTAGTATTGAAAATATTGACTCATGATTCGAACGCAGAACTCCTGGGTCGCCAATTTCATGTATTTTTAGTAATATACTAACTTGATTTTGGATTCCCTTCCTTTCCAATTCTTATAGATATCTTTAAAAGACTACACTTTTTATATACGATTATATATTCGCAATATTGAGAAACCCACCACCCAGTATGTCATTTTTACTTCCTACGTCTATGGGCGAGAAAGTATTGCAATCGAGAAAAATTTCGAAAATGATATATATGATTTTTTGATGTTATAAGACATGTACATCATGGAAAAGCATGCTATTCATTTCTTTGGGTCTTGCCAAGGACAAAATCGCTAAAACTTCGTTTTTAGACGTTGAAAACGATCCTGTCTGTAACTATTTTTTTCTCAGAGGGTTTATTTTGTGCTGAACTTACTCCTTTACATCAGTTCGACACCATTACGCAGGAAGTGCAGACTCAACCTACTTGACGCCATTTTTTGTGTCAACTTACCTGCTTGGAGGTGGGCTCCTTGGCGACCTGGCGCGGTATGGCGGCGACCTTGGCGATCTCCTTACCAGGGGCGGCGACCGACGCGGCGGCAGTGGAGAGCGCGTACGCGAACGCGATCGCGAACGGGAACCCGGCGACGGCGAACGGGAACCATCCATGTAAAGGGATTTATAGCCACTGTGGCGCCATCTGAAAACAAAAATAAAACGCTGCGTGTCTATATGTCTATTTCTGTCTTTACCCTATGGGCACACACCAGATGGCATTGACTATGACTGTAACCCAACAAGCTATAGACCACAGAACAGAAGAGGTATTTGAACCTCATTCATGCATCACTTGACAGACATATTTATATGACAGCAGGATGATTCAGAAAATAGTTGCAATTTCAAACTACCAAGAGTTCCTATAAATAGAGGTTCTAAAATGCTTCCTGATCAGAAGTCAGGGTCTTAAAGAAATAATTACAAAATTGAAAAAAGATGTCTCCATTGTGGACAAATATGATGACTAAAAATTTTAAGCCTATCACATACAAACAGCACAACCAATGAATAACCTTAGGAGTCTGCAATGTAAAAGCAAACTACAATACTGATATTCAATGTATTACCTGTTTGGATCTTTTGCTTCAACTTCAAGAAGTTTCTTGTCCCAAAAAGCACCTGAGGTAGGTGATTTTTGAGCCCTTGCTTTCTTCATTACATTGTCAATTTCCCTCCTGCGACCTGCTGGTAGACTTGGATCTAACAATCATAATAATAAAGCTATTATACATACAATATCATTAGTTTTATCAAAAAATATTCGAACATTTATTCCAGTAACTAAAACCCACTTCAATCAGAATGAGCACCTATGAATAGGCATCAAAGCAACCACTTATGATTGGCAGACAACTTCACATTTACCTGTAATTCTGGGTTGTGGTGGTTTAGTATCCATCCTGAGTTTACTTGGAATCTTCTTATCTCTACTTCTGCTTCTGCTTCTCCTTCTAGAAGACATCCTAAACAAAAGTCAAATAGATTAGGTCTTTATTTTCTTAGGTTACACTTGATGCCCCCTTTATAAATAATGATATTTTCTAGTACAAATTACTAATATTTACTCTTTTACAGGTAAAATAATCGATGCAAATTTTTGTGAACAATGAATTCAAAACAGAGAGCCTTAACAGGTTTCTAAAACTGATGAAAAATAAAAACAAAAAACTATAAAATCACACTACTCTAAAACTGTGTATTTTACAAAATAATCAAACCCTCAAAAAGTTCTAGTAAGCTAATTCTTTGTTATGGAAATGCTGCAAGAGATTATGATAGCTGAGAGTAATCTACAAAAATAAAAACTCACTTCCATGTACCAGACCATTTTGGATATGGTTCAACAGCTGGTTGTCAAAATGTGTTTGTGTGTAAAACAATATTGATGCGCGAAGATCGCTTGGCCAAAAGGATGACCAAGTCGCGCCGAATATGCGCCCGAACCGTTGTTAAGTCACATAAGAACATTGGGAAATGGTACACTCATACCCACATTCACACATAACAGTTTAATAAAAATGTGTCTTATAGTAGAAATACTGTTGTTTTTACATGAACAGTTAATAAAAGAGCTAGGGAATACACATTATGGACTAGTTAAAGTACTTTTAGGCACACAGGCAAAGGTAATTAGGGCAAACTTTTGGGTTCTCTTGGCTGGTAACTTGCCCCCATTAAAGTCTGAAGTAGAGGTTTAGAGACTGGCAGTTCAATGTCTGAAAGTCAAAATCATCACACAAACACAGTTTTCCCAAACATATGTGCTGGACAGACAGTTGAATCAATTGCTACGATATATATATAACTTAACTCCAATGGGAATGACTTGTGAGTAGTGATTGTAACTTCAAGTCATTGGTCTGTAGTCTGCTATCCCATTATGTGAGTGGTCAGCATGTCATACTGAAAAAAGTGACCATAAAGTTATCAGTGTTGTTAATCAAATATAATTTTTTAACCAACTTTTATTTAGTGATAACATTCTTCAGTGACTCACCAAGAATAAAAGTAACCATACAATCTATACAGTCTATTAATTTTATTGGGATTTCTAAGAAATATTGCAATATGATACATAATAAGCAAGGCTAAGACACTTATTACATAAGTAGGATAACTAATAAATTCAAGTTGTATTTTGAGCATAAAAAGAAAGCTCCTACTAATCACAGTTTAGCTTTATCCTATATTTGTTGACTTCAAACTACTCAACAGTTGAGTGGAGGAATTGATTAACATATTCTACCTGAAGATAGCCAACCATGTAATGTGTTTTGGCTTCCAAAAAATTATCTGAGATGAAATGAGAGATCCTGACATCATAGCTCTATTAAGAATTTTTCAGCACTAACAGCAGTTGTGACAAATTCTCATAGATGACACCAGGGTATCTCTCCTTTTATCTAGGGTTTTGGATGCTGAAATAAACTACATGGTATCTCTAGTCTTCAGGTAGAATACATTAATCAATCCAGATAAACTCAAGCATTGTATTCCAGGACCATAAAACAAACATAGGGTTCTTACACTGAAAGTGAGTGGTGATGAAACAGATTACCCAATAGCAAAGAAACAGGTGTATAATCAACTGTATTTCTACAAGGTGCAGTTATAGCAAACTGGTTATTCCACCCATCCATCCTGACTTACGATCCTCATGCAACCAAGCATATCAAGCCAACTCCACTCAAATAGCCAACCAAACTACAAATTAACTTTGGGCCGTTGACCGCGCGAACATGGTCAATAGAGGTCACGACAACTTCAAAACGTCGACGACAACGGCATTTTCGATCGGTCGGGGGCCAATGCTTGCCCGATGAATTCCGGATTCATGCTACCCAGCATCCAGAAAGTCCCTCAAAACAACCAAATGCGAAACGCGCGTACTAGGGCCAACCGGGTCACGGCGGCGGCCGTTTTGTGTCCACGAAAATAGCAAGGCCGAATCGGCGAAGGCCATGGTACAGCGAGGGGGCCGCTCGCAATCCGACGGATGGGGGCCCCTTTTCGCGCTGCGGCGGTGTTCCGGGAACGAATCGCGCGACGAGACCAAAATAGCCATCGATGGCTGCCTTTCTCTATGCGACGTCGACGAAATGGCCACAGCACAGCTGGAAATCAATATAGAAAACGGGCGTGACTTACGCTACAAGGCACTTACTTTGCTCGAACGAACTGTTTTCGTCCGTACTAACAATTTGCGGGAACTAATCCTACGCCACAATCGCTGTTTAGTTCAAATATAGCACTTCACACCAACAAAATTTCGATCAGAAGTTGTGAACTTTGTTGTCCGACATTCAGGCAAAACAGCAATGGATGAAACGTCAAAAATGCGCTTTGATTTGACATTACCATTTGACATTTGACAGCCTGCGTTCCTCCTTTGCACTCTGTACCTGGGTCTGCACCGCTTTAAAAGTTCTGCCAACCTTGCCTCCATCTGTTTCCACTTTAATATTTTTAAAAATGCATTGTTCTCTTTTAAATAACTGAATGGGAAATACAGAAAAAATGCACCTAACTAATATAACTAGTACTGGTATTCAACTACTAGTAGGTTGCACCTTTTTCCTATTCAAGAATGGACAGGGGCGTAGCTATTGTAGGACAAAACATGACTGTGTCCTAGGGTGCAGAGCATTATATCCGGCCTCGATATGAATGCGTGGTCGCTTTTTTTTTGCTATACATAGGTTTTGTATGGCAAGTTTATGTTTCTGTCAATGGACTTGACCAAATAAATAATCCACATTAGTGAATCTTTGGGACTCAGCAGTACTGTATGATGCAGTTTTTCTCCTCATTACTACCCTCATTCATTTGTCCTTTAAAATGAATAAAAGAAATCCACTGAGTTATTATGTAAATGTTTTAAGACAAATAAAAAGGAAGCTCAGAATTGTAGCAGTTGAAAAACTGTTTGATACGAGAAAAAGCAGTGCCGTGCCATGTTTTTCTTTTAAGATGTATTTCAAAATTTAACACGTTTAGAATATTAATGAATGAATGAATTATGAAATTATAGGCATACTGGCCACATAAGGAGCCAGCGCATAGGCCACTTCGACGGGACGTTGTGCACCTCTACATTCCTTAGACCTCAATCCTCGTCATTCTAGCGAAATTGAGTATGGCCTTGAGTCCAAGCTCCTTAACATTCTGGTGGTCCAAAGTAATGTATCCCAGAGTAGTCTGCCTGTAATAGCTCAGAGCCTTACGGCGACTCATAATGAGCGCCGAGGTCTCCTCCTCTACCCCGCCAGTGCTCGCACAAGGGATCCTGAACCACCCCCATCACGTGTCGCCTTAGTGTGTTATGGCTAGACAACAGTCCCGCCAGCATCCTTAGATTGGCTCTATCCATGAAAAGGATCTAAGACTGACCCTTATAACTACAGGCCTATAGCTCTTCTGTCTGTTATATGTAATGTGATGGAGAGGTAATTCAGAAGTACCTCGGACGTCACGGCTTCATTAGCGATATACGGGGGACCTCCTTCTTACATCACGCAACTCTAGAATAAGCTCATCTAATCTTATGATGAGGCTCATGTCACTGCTCTTAATATCACGAAGCTTTCAGTCAGCTGTGGCATGCTGCCCTCTTATGCAAACTTACATCCTATGACCTCCCAGAGGATCGTTGCAGATGGGTGGTTAACTTCCTCTCTGACTACAAAATATCCGCGATGATTGACGGACTCTCCTCTTCATCCCACAGTGTCAATGCGGGTGCTCCCCAAGGATCTGTCTTGGCTCCGACATTGTTCTCGGCGATCTGAGAAAATGAGCTGGAGAAAAGAAGACTAGCATCGACTTCCTCTCGGACAAGAGACTTGTTAGTGACGCAACAATCTTGTACAGTTTAATGCTAAAACAGACGTACTAGGCTTTAATCCTCACAGCTGAAAGCCCTCACTCTTCCCACAAAAGGTGGAGATACACCCCTGTTAGGAATTGCGCACCAGACAAGATTTAACTGCAAAGTTCGCTTTATGTTTGTATCTAACATTGTCAGGGCATTCCTCTACATTGTCAGTATAAAATCCATCGTTTCCCTTCCTGTCAGAATTACTCAAAGTGAAATACTTTTCGTCATTTAAAATAATGATTTTTCCGTTGGCAAAGTGTACCCGCGTCAGTTGACGACAGCATCTTGGTACGAGGGATGTCTTCTAAGCTTTGCATATGGAAATAAACCAACACAGTAGGTAGTTTTAAATGACTTTATTGTTTTTCGAAGTATTCTCCACGAAGATTAATACACATCTGCATGCGCTCGAACCAATTTTCTAAGCACTTATTCCACTCGCTTGCTGACAGATCCAAAACGGCATTTTTGAATGCATCAACTGTTTCTTCTGGTGACTGGAACCTTTGACCACGCAGTCCGTTTTTAATTTTCGGGAAAGTAAAGAAATCGTTAGGACTTAGATCGGGACATTAAGGAGCATGGTCCAATAATTCCACGTTTTCTTCCGTTAAATACCTACTGCCTTGTTTTTTGGGCTATGTGCGAGCTTGCATTGTCTTGGTGCAGGAGATTCTTCTTTCGGGGTTGATTTTTCGAAGCTCGGTGATGACTTTTGGTAAACAAATTGTGGTATACCAATCCGCAGTAACAGCGCTTTGCTCATTAAGAAGAATTGTTGCAATATGACCCGCTTTTGACACAAATGTCGCGACCACCTTTTTCGAAACACTTCGAGAACGGTTGACTTTTGTTGGTTTTTCTTCACCTTGGAACACCCAAACAGCCGACTGTCGTTTATTTTCTGCTTCATAACAGTAGATCCACGATTTATCACCACTAACAATGCTGTACACATTTTTTGAGTTTCCGGAATTGAAACGGTCAAGCGTTTTTTTGACACCAATTAACCCTGGCTGCTTTCTGCTCTTCAGTCAACAGGTGGGGTATCCAACGAGAAACTAATTTTCTTACTCCTAATTCTTCATGTAAAATTTTTTGAATTGAGGTCTTTGAGATCTTCAAGGACGTCTCAATCTTGCGAAATGTCACATGTCTATCTTCAATGATGACTTTGCGCACAGCGTCGACGTTTTCCTGGGTGACTGCCGTTTTTGGTGCACCTACCCTGCGATCGTCGCTAAGACTCACCCGTCCACGTTTGAATTCTCCATACCAACGGGAAATTGTCGACTGATGTGGCGCTTCGTTGCCGAAAACAGACAGTAACCCAGCAAGGCGTTCTTGTTGCGATAATTGTCTCTGAAAGTTGTAATAAATTATGGCGCGAAAATGTTCTCGGTTGAGTTCCATTTTTCTAATGACTTGGTGACACTTAAAAATTCACTGTAGTGAGAACACTGCACGTATTGTTCTGAAACTTTGAATTTAAGTTTACTAAAGAGTGAGGTTAAGATTCAGTACTAACGTTCGATCCACGCCGCCTACTATATTTCTATATGCAAAACTTAAAAGACATCCCTCGTATACAAAGGAGTGGCGCTTGAGAGTATTTGGGACATTTAAGTCTCTTTCAATATTTAAGACCATTCCTCCTCAATTCCAACGATATCTTACTCTTAGAAGATCTGTATTGACGAGCCAGTTGACATTCCAACCTGATTTTTTGCATTTCTCACCAATATCTCTGACCTCTGTGTAGTGAATGCACGTGGTCTTCCACTTTTTGGGAGATTCAGACATGGTATTCCCTGCTCGTACTCCGCTATTGTTCGAAAATAATTTAAAACGGGATTTTCCAGAATGCGTAATTTTAAAAAAAATGGTGGTGTGGTAGATGCCAATTCCAAAATGCTCAATTTGGGGTCATCAAGCTTTGATATACACCAATAGAAAATAAAAATATAATATTCAGCCGCTCTCAATAATATTGTATCCCACCATATATCTTGCAAACAATTACATATTTTTCGTACGGCAACTATTAAGAAAAATCAATCAACAATATTTATTAATAAACCAGATCCGCTCCTCTGAGAGGAAAGGGGTCAGCCTTGGTGCATACGTTACTTTCCATTCATATATATGTTTTAATGCAATGCTTAATCTAAAAGTGAGCCTTTCTTGTGTTCGTAGGTGTACTTGATAAACATTGATATTCTTTATCAACTCTAAGTGCTGATTCAATGCAATATAGCTGATTCCTTTTATCCATATCTCAAAAAAAATTTATGTTCTTATAGTTATATTCGCTATGCAGGAAATTTATATTATACCGTATCATCGGTATTATGAAAGCTCTATCAACATTTCTAACAGTAGTTCAGTAATAAACTGGTTATTCGTCCTAAATCAGTGATTTTTCAATGAAATGCCTTCTTTATATAAATGAGCATGCTTGTTGCATCGATTCATTCTTATAAAATCCTTTAATTTAATCTTTTTGTAGATAACCTTTCAAATAACGGTGTGCATCGATAAATATATAAAATGTGTAGTTGCAGTAAAAACATGTAAGTATCACATAAATATGCAAGCTTAAAAATATAATAATTATTTTCCGTCAACCTTCATTTGATTTTTTTTTAATTTTCTCGTCCTTCAGACAATGCATGTTTATAAAGTAATCAAATGAATAAAAAATTGTACAATTATAATATACATATATATCTAGCTTGTTTTTTGGTAATTTTATACGCAAACAGATCACTTCACAGGGTTTCAGTATGTGTTTTGTGTAAAAGAATTTTTGTCCCTTTAAGGCAGTTCATCTCCTAGAGTATGATTTACACGAAGTAATTGAGTCTCCGAATGCTGTTTTGATAAAATTAAATAGGCAATCGTAACCAGGCGGTCCCTGCGATTGGAAACAAGATCATCATTGCTTGAGGATTGTCACATCGGTATGGCCACTGATAATTAACTCTATTGATTGTGTGGGAAATTCTGATAGAAGTTTCGGTAGACTGGAGCAGTGGGCGTCCACAGAGCGGTGCTGGGAGGGCTGTCCCCCCCACCCCTGAGAATTCTATTGGACCTTAAAATGTGCATATTGACCGTATACATCTTTGGGAACCCCAACGAAGAAAATTATACCTTCCACTCTTCAGTATGTTTTGGGGACAGGTACACTTGATCGAAGGTCCTCATCCTTGAGAAAAATTCCATTCATGGAGCCAGTTGTCATATACTCGTATTTAACAAATTCTTGCCGGACTATAAGGCTAATTTCGAGATTGGGCAACATTCTGACATGTGTCTCCACTACTGTTGTTTAAATACGTTTACTCTAATATGACAATGAAAGCGTAATTTAGATCAGGAATTATTAGGGGAGAGAGGTCTGCTATCAATAAAACATTCTTCCAGCAAGAAAATAGATTTGTTTTACGTTCTCTTCATGTTTGATTCCTCAGGAAGATCGAGTGCTTAGCATATATCTTCACTCGGAACTGTACATAAAAAAATATTGAGTGCCACTGGTTTAGATTTCTTAAATTTGAATTTTCAATTTGCTGTGTTTGTTTTCGCCATCTATCATTATAACTTTTATTTTAGTTACACTTATGAAAAGCTGTCTGAGATCAAAGACTTCCTGACCGAGAAAATCAGCATACAACCAAAAATTGGAGTCATATGTGGATCCGGGCTAGGTACGTTCCGAAATTTCTAAAAATAGCGCTTAGAATACAAAAATAACAAACAGGAACTGAAAACTGAATTCTGCGTAGAAATATTATTCTTAAAAGCTTGACCTTTCGTACAAACCATTTTTGTACAGGGTGACTGACTGATTTGTATTTGCTTTGAATTGTTTATTCTAATATTTCATTGAAACTGAAGGAACGTATAAAAAATAAGATCCCCCATGTGCTGCAACTGCACTAATCTCTCAATATGTATACATTGAGGAGAAGATTTACCAAGCACAAATTAGTTTCAAGTGCAGATGCAAAACAAATATCTGATTTTTAAGTCCAAGTATGGCAATTGTATTCTATCTACTAAAATGGGTAAGAGAAAATAGATCTTGAATTGTAATATAACACCAAATTTCTTGGAACACACGTAGGTGAAGCCGTCAAGTAGTCATACCTATAGAAAAAAAGATATATAAAAAACAGATCAGTTGAGCAGTGTATGTTACGCTTTCCTGAGAAATGGGATATATTTTTATAGATACAGCATTTCTATAAATCGACTTCTTATATTTAAAAAAACAACTTTGAGATGTACGCTTAAAAGGTGACAAAAAGAATCATGCCGTGGAAAATTTAGAACAAATAATATTTTAGATTTTAACTGTTTAAAAAATGTCTACCAGTGGATAACATAAAATAAATAACATAAATATAACACTATTAATATTTAATATATGTTGTACAGAGAAATCAATGATGAGGGAAATATAAAGGGTGTTCTTTAATGATATGCGAATCTACATGAAAAATTAATGTTAGTTTGCTTTATAAACTATGGTCCAAAAATGTTTCCTTACAAAAACTCGGGGTGTTGAAGTTTTAGGAAAAAAATGGAAATTAACTAATATTTTCAGAACCGCTTTTCACTGATATTTAGTGCACCCTAACAAAACGTGATGGAACAATCAAAAAGACTCGTGTTTCTGCGGCTTCCTGAGACAACCATTTACATATATGAAATCAAGTTTAAAACTTCCAACTTTCCGTAGACAATTACGCCAAAAGATGGATTTCCTTTGAAAGATATCGGAGAAACAAATCAGTCAAGTATAAATACCACCCTGTATTAGGTTCGATATCACTGGCCTTTTCCTGCCAACTAGGAAAGTTTATTAATTACTTGTATTTATTTTCACTCTTGCGACCATCGATAAATCGATTATTCGATATCGAAGACTAGTTTCTTGCTTGCGTTTGTTTAATAACTGTCTTGTTTACTACACACGTTCGGTGTCATATGTTTACATATTCATTCAAATGCAAATAGTCAATAATTCACGATAAGAACTAACTGATAGCAATTTTAAGTTGAAGCACACAGCTGATGTCACAACATATCTCTCCAACAACCGCGCAAATAAGAATACAATATTACTGCGAGATGTCGTTCACAAAACAGGATGAGAGCCTATGGAAGCTACAGTGGCCAGTACTCTCAGTTGAAACTAGTCTGCTGTCCTTGCAGGGGCGCCAAAGCCTGCCAATATTCAAGAAAATGGTGTATGTTGCTGTATCTTGGAATGAAAATTACCTTGCTAAATCTGAATCGTGACACGTACCCCAACCCCCACTATTTTTTGTGGCAAGGGCACTTGCTTACAGAAGCGCTGCTTAAGCCGTCAGCCTCCCGATCTTCAATTTTCAATAACCATCGTTACTTAAGATAAATGATACCTACATACCGTTCTTGGGCAATTACGCGCTTACGATTTGTGAGAAAATTCATGCGCGTCAAATCAAGGGCGGACGCAGCGGTGGTCACACCATTCATATTGAGGAAGATGTTTATCTCTGGGCGGAGTTTATGGGCGAATAAAAAGAGAAGAACTGACAGGGGAGGCTGCATGCTTCAGCACCTAAGCATCGCTTTTGAGAGCAAATGCCCTTGTGACAATTGGAAACCGGGGGTGGGGTAGATTATGGTGGGGGCGAACGTCCCACGATTCAGGACTAACAAGATAATTTTTACACCAAGGTAGACTTGTGTGACTAGGGGCTCTTGAATAAAATGATAATGGTTATGGTTCTGATACAATACTAAAACTCCACGTTGGAACAATACTATAGAATACTTCCAACGCTTTCGTACAATACAGAAAATGTTGCGTACAATGGGATATATTCCAAAATTTTTGTTTCTACATAGTATGAACGGTTTGCCACCAAAAACTGTTTTCTGAGCATTTTTGTTTATTCTATAAACGAAATGTAGCACACAGCACAGTTGAAACGTAAAACTTCGCGCTAAAACTAAGTGACTTAATAAGTTTTATTGTGACTAAATAAGTGTTTCTATTTTTGTTCTTAGAAGATGACCCTACTTCTACTGTAGATGTTAACTTTCGTCAGTCAAGAAAGTGATTTTTTACGACATTCACAGTTTGACACGGAAATGTATTGGCTGATTACCGTCGGCGTCCCTCAGGGTTCGGTCCTTGGACCTATCCTTTACTCACTGTACATCCATGACGTCGCTAGCCCCAGCAACTGTGAAGTCTATCTCTATGCTGACGATACTGCATTGGTGGCTCAGTCGTGGTCTGGTGACCTAGTCCATGACAGGCTGCAAAGTGCGGTGGAGGAAGTATTAGATTGGGCGGATCGGTGGCTAATTAAAATTAACCATTCGAAAACGCAGGCAATCTACTGTACAAAAAGACGTCGCGGGGTTCCGTCTGAAGTTTCAATGAATGGACTTTGTATACCATGAGAATCCTCCGCTAAGTATCTCGGTGTCAATCTGGACAAAGGGATGACTTGGCGGAACCATATAGAAGCGCTAAAAACTAAATTCCAAATTACGTTTCGACAGCTTTACCCATTATTATGTAAAGGTTCAAAATTAAGTTTGATTAACAAGATTCCACTCTATAAGGTGGTCATAAGACCAGCAATGACTTATGCATGTGCGGCTTGGTGTTGTATTGCTAAAACACATATGCGAAATCTGCAGGTTCTGCAAAGCAGGACGTTGCGCACTATTGCTGATGCCCCAAGGTATGTCTCTAACGAAACTCTACATAGAGACCTCGATGTCCCTTACCTAAAGGACTACATTAAGCAACAGGCTCAGCGCCGCTATAGCCTAGCGGAATCGCACTGCAGCCCTCTCAACCAAAATTGGAGCATTTTGATAAAATATTTAGAAAAAATCGAATATTTTTAGACCATATCAAAATCTGTGAAGTGATTTTAACAACGCCTAAACGCTGCCTATCCTAAAATATTCTCTTCTTCCCCGGTGCTCTCGTTCATCCTTCTCTCCTTTCCTTCCCTCTGTTCCTTAAAATTGTCTGGTTTCTGGGTCACCAGACCTGACAGACTTACAAACTGACACTGTGACTCAAGAGCTAAGGTCCCACGGACCGCTCTGACAGCCAACAATGACTTGACGGAAATGTATCGTCACATTCATTGGGTATTGCAATAAAAATGACAGGAATTGGTTGATTCCGTCGACGGAAAATACGTACATTTCAGAGGATTTCAGTGTATGCATTCCAAAAAGAAAAAAGAATATAAAAGCTGCATCATCTTTGAAAAGTGAACAGCACAATCTGTTTCAGTTACTAAAGATGCAACTTTTCGAGCCTCTGATTATCTCGTGAACCGTAGCCGTTACGTTATTAAATAGAATTTGGTCCTCAATGAGAAAACTGGTGTCAAGTAGGTTGACTCTGCTCTTCCCTCGAAACGCTGTCAATACATAGCTCATAAAGCTTTATGCTCGGCCCAAGTTAGTCCCTTTCAGCTTGCTACAAACGTGTTTTAAAAAAAATTAGTACACATGCCAAAGTCCCCATCCATTTGATAAAGCTAATACTAGTTTCTTCCCTACTCTGCATATCGACCAACTGTCAACGCTGCTGGACCAAACTAGCCAAATACGTCATACGCGTCAGTCACGATCCTGGCCGGCGATGCTGTCAGGCGCAAGGCAGGGTTCGGAGTATGAATGTCGCCGTTGCATCGCATCGTCGCGACCGACCGCGTGTCTCGTCTATAAATATGTCTCTAAATTGTACGGGAAATTTTTGATGGGTAAAGTATGTACTGATAGGTGCTTAAAATAACTATGGTTGGAAGTGTATCAATGTACTTCCGCCAACAAAATGACAAATACCGTCCCCCACCCTCTAAAACCCCCAACCCAAACAACAATTTTGAGCAGTAATTTCCAAGTTGTAGGCGGTCCAAAGAGTGGCATGATTTTTCATGATGTACATGTCATATAACATCCAAAAAACATTTTGTTTTCAAAATTTTCGCGATTACAATACTTCTTCGCCAGTAGGCGTGGGAAGTAAATGATCGATGATCTGATGTGATTGACCTGATTTCTTGAATAATTTGTTTTAAAAATACCTGGATTGTGAGCATCTAATGTAAACGGCCATAATTCACGTGATAATCAATTCTCATAAAGATAGTTTTAGGATATCCTGCTACACGTATCCAAATTTAAAAATATATCTTGACAGATGTAACCCATTGAAGCCAAGTGTGGTAGAGTTAACTGGTATAGAGAATATCTGATACAGCTACAGGGTACTGACCAAATTCCAAGGGGTGATTTTTTGCGTAATTGTAAAACAAAAAGATCATATGAATATAGGTAGGATATATGAAGAATGAGAAAGAATTAAAAAAATCGAATTAGAAAATCGCGTACGAAAAACACCATCAAAAAGAATTGTGAGTATTTTTATCCCACGATCCAGATGGCCATGAGTAACTGAACACTTGATTTGAAGAAACACTTCTCTTACATGATTTCAGTTAAATTTTTGTCTATATATCTGCACCAGATAATAAAAATGTTGAAAAATGAGCTAAAGGATAATCCCAACTCTGCGAATACGATTTTTTTTTTAAAAGTGTTAAGCCTCGTATTTTGGATCGAAGCATTACTGAATCGATGTGTGTATAAACTTTTGCATAGAATCAGACCCCTTGAAGTTCGGCAGGGTACTTTATTCACACTCTGTTTTTCATTCCTACCAACGTTTTCGGAGCAAAATAGCATGATAATCTTACAATGAACAGCCAGCATTTCGAAAGCCATTACGCTTATATATAAACCAATTATTTTATCAAGTTGCTTTATATAACAAATCGAAGATGTTTATTAACTTCGCTGGGGTCCCAGATATCGTTTGAGCAACATCCTTATCAGCTGTGGAATTTTCCATTCAAGGGTCACTGGGAAACGCTATCACAGACGCCGTTTGGATCAACTACGCCGACATACCAGATTTTCCAGTCAGCACGGTGAGTTTCATGCAACATGCTCAGTCGCAGTTACTCTATTTATACAGAAAGATCTTTAGCAATGTATGTACCTATTTGAAAAAAATGGCGTTGAGTATTTTGACTCTGCATTTCCCATTCAACGCTGTTATCAGTTCGGCATACGAAAAAGTCCAAATATTTTACAACGTCGCAATCTAGGAATTTGCCCTGTGCCAGCCAGCCATTCTATTTTTTCGTTGGGTTCGACGCCTGTATTCAAAACTTTTCATGAAACATTCTAAGTCTGAAAGCAAATGTTCAAATTCAGTTCTCCCTTGCCCTGCAACTGCCCAAACTAAGTTAGTTTGTTGCTCAGGAAATTAGCGATCCATGGCGAAATTAGTTCCGTATAAATATACCTATATTTTTAAGAACATTTTTATCCTCAACTCCAACGGTCATCAATATTTTATTTATTTTCAACAAAACACTAGTTTAGTTTTGAATTCTCCTAGCTGGTGCTCACCGCCATTAGACGGCAAAATTGGAGTTACTGTATCATGCATTGTGTTGTGTGTTGAAAATATTCGAACATCTGGATATAATAATAATAATAATAATAATATTTATTCGCCAAAATACAAAAAGTGGGCAAATAAATACGAAAAAAACACAGAAGGCATCGCCTGTGTGTGGTTTATATCTTAATAACTAACAATCAATCATATATGTGTATAACAATTATTGTTAAATCTAAAAGGTATTAATGTAATTGGAATTTTGTAGTTTCAGTTTTCTATATAATTATGTATAGTCATTCGCTGCACATTACTAACCCAGTCTTTCAATTTTCTTCTAAATTTTTTTCCAAAATTAAGTATCTTTATTTTGTTTGGTACTACATTATACAGGGTGGCCCATAAGTCCTTTGAGCTGGAAAAAAAGGTATAAAACCAAACTAGTTACATTTTAAAGAATTATTATATTTTGTTATCATCTTTATTGAATGGGAATTATGTTTTAAAAATCACATCGTCTAAATGCAATCCATTACGATCACGGCACTCATATAAACGACGTCTAAAATTGTCGATGACTGCGCGGCAAGTCAACACTGTAATGCTTGCCATTTCTCTTCGGATATTTTCTTTCAGGACATCAACTGATCGCGGAGTGGTGTCGTACAGTTTACTCTTGAGGTAGCCCCATAAAAAGAAGTCCATTGAGGTCAAATCTGGACTACGTGGTGGCCATGAAATGTCTCCTCTTCGAGAAATTACTTTGCTGGGAAAAAGTTGACAGACGACCGGCATAGAAGTGTTGGAGGTGTGGGCAGTTGCTCCGTCCTGTTGAAACCAGATCTGCGTATTATAGCCTGGAAAATTCTGCAACGCTGGTGTCAAAAACTCTTCTATCATTGCTACATACCGCTCCGAAGTAACAGTTAATGCGCGACCTCTGTCGTCCTCAAAAAAATAAGGGCCTACGATGCCATGCGCTGACATAGCAGCTCAAACTGTAACTTTAGGGCTGTGTAAGGGCTTCTGATGCTTACGCCTTGGATTTTCGGGGCTCCAATAACGGCAATTTTGTTTATTTACATGCCCGTTTAAATGGAAGTGAGCCTCGTCCGAGAACAACACATTATTGAGCGAAGAAAATCGATTCAACATTTCATTCGCAAAGTTTAGTCTCTGAATAGCGTCATTATCTTTTAATTCCTGCACTAACTGAATTTTGTAAGCGTGCAGACGTAAATCTTTCCTTAAAATCCGCTGTAAAGATGTTCTGGGTACGTTTAGTGCACTGGAACGCTTACGAGTAGACTGGGTAGGATTTTGACGAACAGACTGTGCCACAATGATGTTTTCTTCAATACGAGTTGTCCTTGGTCGACCCCACCGCTGTTTATCTAACGTCGAACTAGTCTCTTCGAACTTAGCAAGCCAGTTCTTAATCGTTTGAGCTGTTGGACACTTTGTAAAATTGTGTAAATTGTGGTATTCTCGATATTTACGCCGCGCAATGGTTGCCGAATCATTATTTTGATAAAACGCGCGCACACAAAAAGCACGATCCGCTCCAGTGAAACACTCCATAGCGACTGAATTCCCAGACACTGAAGATACTGCCCCCACCTCGCCCGCGCCGCTCACGCTCACCCGTTAAATTTTATTCAAATTTGAAATTTCAAAGGACTTATGGACCACCCTGTATAATTTAGCTGCTAAGAATTTAAATGATTTTTTGAATAATGTTTTGTGTGGTCTTTGGATATTAGATGAGCCTATTCGAAATCGTGTGTTATGCTTGTGTTTATAGGATTTTTTCTTTTTATTACAATACTTATGGTATAAGGTGGTGGCATGTAAGAAATAAAGTTGTCTTGTATCAAGTATCCCTGTTTCTTGATATAAGTTGTTCGTTGGATATAATCTTGGCTTATGGAAAATGGCTTTCAAAACAGTTGTTTGTGCTATATTCAGGTCAAAAATATATGTCTTGCAGGCGGCACCCCAAGCTGTGATGCAGTATATTATATGGGTTTCAACTAAGGCATGGTATAGGATTCGCAGATAACTTATGGATCATAACAAAGATATTACGAACTTTTATTTGATGCTGTTGTTGTTATTTTCTTATACGCTCTGAATTGAACTGATTACTATTTTTAGATTCACTTCTTTAGTATTATTCAAAGAGGTTTTTGCAAGGTTCCGCTCTTTGCCCCAATTGGAATAAATTAGGTTTGTGAAACTTGAAGTACTGTCAGATAAAGTCTAGTCTCAGTTTTTGCTAACTTTGGGAATCATAACCCTATGTTGCCATCTATCTTTGCAGGTAGTCGGATATGGTTATTTAACTTTTTTGAATTTATCCTTTGAGTGGCTTTAAAAGTACTAAAACTGATCTCTAATTTTGACTCAACGTCCGCATGTAACATGCGTCTGGACTCGAATGCTTTAGGTATATTTTGAAGTGACCTTGTAATTACCTTCAGGTGTCCTCATAGTGAGTAACTGATTTCTGATTCAAACTTATTAGCAAAAAAAATCCTAAATTTCATCCGGTCTATGATATGATCTTGAAGTGCCTTAAAAAAACACTATTGTACCGAAAATCGCATAAATGACGTAGAAATTGTGTTTTCTGACAGCTTTTTGGTGGTCTAGACCAGTGTGCGTCGATCAATGACTTCTCTAACGAACCGTCTCGGCACCTTTCCCACCGACAGGTGGTCGGCGATCTGACTCTCTTCTACTGCAATTTCAAGGGGCTTTGCTCTTCAGAGCTCTCCTCCTACTGGCCGGTACACCCATTCCTTTGTTCTTAGGGTGTCAAGAATGTAAAACAATCTGCCTGATGAGACTTTTCTCGGTTCTAATAGCGTAGGCTGATCAAGAATCAGATTATCAAGGGTTCTCTAACATTTTTATGGTACGCTGGGTGCCTCTGTATTTGGTTTTCAAAAACTAATTGTCATTGTGGTACAGCTCAGAAAAACACTTGAAATTCAGATCATGTTTCAATTAAAATACCTATTGAAGCATAACAGCTTTCAAGTCTTAGGATGTCAGGTTTTGGTACGTAAATGTTCAAGCCTCCTTGTCGGTTGGGGGTAGTCGCACTAAGTCAATCAACTGCCCCGCCATTTTTAAGAAAGTACCTGTATATTTATACTGATTCGAATTTCAGATACACAAAAAAATGAGTAAAAGCAAATAGTACTTATACAAATCATCATCATGCTATAACGCAAATATTTACTTATTTACATATGCAGGTAGAAGGACATGTTGGCAGGTTCATTTTCGGTTGTATTCGTGGCGTACCAGTGGCGTGCATGCAGGGTAGGTTCCATTATTACGAAGGATATCCACTGTCAATATGTGCAATGCCTGTTAGATTGATGAAATTATTTGGCATTTCACACTTAATCGCCTCAAATGCAGCAGGGGGACTGAACCCTAAATATAAAGTCGGTAAGTTTTTTTCTCATTTGATGTAGGTACATTTTTCCTTGGTAGCATGAATTAGAATTCTGGAACTTTGTATTTACATTAATAAAGTAGAAATCGAGCTACTCATTTTGAAAAAAAATCTCTTTATTGAGGACAAACTTTTAGAACTCCACGTTTGGCCGCTGAATGACCTATTCATCATTGTCTGTCAGAGCGGTCCTTAGGACCTTTGCTCTTGGTTGAAGTCTTGTAAGTCAGTAGTTCTGACAAGGTCTGGTTGCCCAGATACCAAACAAAGTCAGGGAGAAAGAAGGGAAGAAGAAAGTAAGGAAGGAAGGAGGGAGAGCAAAGAAAAAAGAAGTGCGTCAATTTGAGGGGTGCCTTGGCATTGCTAATTAGTATTCGGCAATTTTAAATTGGTCCTAAAATTAATTTTGGGGTTGGTTGTTGAAGAAAAATTATAATTTTGGTTGGACCTAAAGTCGCACGATTTAATTTTGTTCACAGTGCGAGTCGCGGCCTTGTGTGCTTGCGAACTTGCTCGACTGTGTAGTCAACTGACTCGCGCAACAAAGTGTTGTTATGCGATTCCGGTTGACTATAACGTAGCTGCGATTATTGTTTGATGTAGTCCCTTAGGTAAGGGATGTCAAGGTCTCTGTGAAGGGTCTCGTTGGAAACATACCATGGGGCGTTAGTGATTGTACGCAAGGTTCTGTTCTGTAAAACCTGCAGGCTACGCAAATGCGTTTTGGCGAGAAAACACTAATCCGAACTTGCGTAAGTGATCGCTGGTCTAATAACCATCTTGTATAGCCGAACTTTGTTGATCAAACTTAATTTTGATGGTCTACATAGAGGGGGTAGAGTTGCCGAAACAAGATTTGGAATTTAGTTTTTAACGCTTCTGTGTGCTTCTGCCAGGTTATTCCCTTGTCAAGAGTGACACCGAAATACTTAGCAGAGCTTTCCCACGGTACCCGAGCTCCATTCACTGAAACCTCAGACGGGGCGCCGCTACGTTTTTTAGTACAGTAGATTGCTTGCGTTTTCGAATGATTAATCAGCCACTGATTCGCCCATTCCAATACCTCGTCCACTGCACTTTGCAGCCTGTCGTGAACTAGATCCCCAGAGCACGACTGGGCCACCAGGGCAGTGTCATCAGCATAGATATAGATTTCACAGTTGCTGGGGCAAGGGACGTCATGAATAAAAAGTGAATAAAGGACTGGTCCAAGAACCGAACCCTGAGGGATACCGGCTTTGATGGGCCGTATTGTCGACAGAACATTATTAATTTTGATCCGAAATTTCCTACCCTCGAGGAAGGATTTTAAAAGTTTTATAAACCAGAAGAGGAAGCCCTTATGGATCAATTTGTAGAGAACGCCCTTGTGCCACACCTTGTCGAATGCCTTTGAGACATCCAGAAGCAAGATGCCAGTACTTTCATTACGGATGAACCCCCTGGTTACTCGTTCAACAAGCCTTATAGCTTGTAGCTCCGTACTATGCTCAGAAAGAAAGCCAAATTGCAAGTCAGAAATCACATTCTGGTCTGCCGAGAACTTTTCAAGGTGACGTAGAATCACCTTTTCAGCGAGCTTAGAAGGAGCTGACAGTAGACTAATGGGGCGATAATCCTGGAGGAATATCGAACCCACCTTCTTTGGAATCATTATGACATCAGCGGTCTTCCACGCCGTTGGAAAGTGCTGGGTCCTTAGCATGGCATTGATTATTGCCACGAGATAAGTTAAGGACTTCCGCGAAAGTAGCTTCAGCGCCTTATTAGTGATTTGATCCTCTCCAGGTGCTTTACGCACCTTGAGGTCTTTAATATGACCTTGGAGCTTTGCTGGTGTGCAATGCGGAGTCTCAGGAGATTCCGCTGATGTGCCATGCAGCTCTTCAGTTGAGGAATCTTCTGAAGATTGCTCTGAGGAAAAATCACTAAGGGAGACACTACTACCACTGACGCCGTTGACCCTAAAATATCTGCTGACGAATCTTAGATTATGTTGCTCCTCGTCGACGTCAGTATCAAGGTTATACATAGTTGGGAGAGAACTGACTTTCCATTTTCCTCTGTCCTACAGTCTATGCCTCAAGGACCGTGGATGTGCGGGAGTTGTTGAGCGACTTTGCAACTTTCCAGAGAGGAATACTTGAGTCAAGCCTCTCCGACAGAAAGTCGCTTCATTGCTCATTACGGAATTCATGGAGAGCATTTCTCACTTCATGAACATCATTCATTGCTCTGTGAATGTCATCTGGGTGACAAGACCTCTTCGCTTGCTTAATTGCAGCTCTTTTGTCAGAAATTTTCTGACGAATGTCTGCAGGGAGAGCCACTGAATGGAAATTACTCTATACTGACGTTTCTGGCACATCTTTTTCGAAGAGTCAAGAACAATATATTTTAAATTTGTCTGTCTTCCAGATGACAGTTTTTGCCGCTACTATAGAGTGTGCTGCAGCAACAGTCCGAATGGTTCTGTACTACGCCAAGATCGCGCGAAGCTATCAATATTTTTTACGCGTTGCCGTTTTAGAGTCATGTGAAGAATAGTAGCGGCTGGCGTGGCCGAATCGTCAGTAGAAAAACGTTGAGTTCTATCGGCATGGAAACCTCGGGATCAGTTACAGATGTTAGATTATACAACCTTTTTCTGCACTCTGCTTCTTCAATCTTAGAGAATATAGGTGAATAAATATGGATGTTATGTAACTTACAGGAGACATAATGCTCCAGAAGGATCACTTTAACCTAATGGGTCTTGCAGGACTAGGACCTCATATAGGACCTAATGACTCCCGATTTGGACCAAGATTCTTTTCTATGTCAAATGCTTATGATGAAATTATACTAACTAAGGTAATCATTTACAGTTATACATGTTCTTTCCTATCGTTGAACGATCTATGCAACATTTTTCCTCGGGGGCTATATTCACAACCGACAACTGGAATGAACTAAAATTTGGTATGAGGATTTGCCCAAGTTTTGTCCACATTCAAAAGTCTTTGGTTAAAATTAACGTGCACCAGTGGCGGCGATACAGGGGATTAGTGTATTAATTAGTTGTTTAAAAGCGCCCCACGAAAGGAAATCCAGTGGGTTCAAATCAAGAGACCTCGCAGGCCAATGTACGGATCCATTGCTGCCAATCCATCGTTGTCTAAGATGATTATCCAACCATACGGTTATGTTACGACGAACATGCATTGGGGCACCGTCGTGCTGATACCACATTCGTGCTCTCGTTGCTAACCGAACATCATCTAACAAGAATGATTTTATATTTAAACGTTGTGGCAATACGTGCATGAACAGTTGGCCATTGAAAATGCCGCACCAGACATTTCTAGAAAATCTGTGTGTGGATTCTTATAGAACGGGGATTTTCTAACCACCAAATATGTTCATTATGACAATTAAAAAATAATATCGGCGAACTCATCATTGCTAAATTCCATTTCACAACACTGAAAAATGGAAAAAAGCTTTTGACTTGACTTACAAAATAAAAAAATGGTAGTAGTAACGATAACAACCGTATAACACGTAACTCTTACAAACTATCTCCCAAGAAACGTCAAGGTATCATAAAGCCTCCTATTTTATTTTGAAACTAATTGTAGCTCGGCTCTGCATGGATGATCTACCTTTTTTTTATAGTATAGTTATAGTAGTTATTTGTAGCAAATTGAAGGAAAAATTCGAAAGATTGCGCGTTTCGAAAAAAAAAACAGTAGAGTACTATTCTTATTTGGAAAAATAATGCCACTAATCGCACATTTATTTTAAGTAAAGACTTTTGAATGTGGACAATACGTAGGTAAGTCCACATATCGAATTTTAATTCGTTCCGGTTGACCGTTTTGAAGATATTAATTTTCTTTTATTATTTAAACTTCAACTCCCCGTATATTTTTAATAAAGCCCTTGAGAAAAAAATGTTACATAGGAGACCGTCCTTGAAATGCGGTCCTGTGTATGATGTTTCATTTTTGGTCATGACTTTTGGAATTACACTGTAAAGACCGGACGCCAAAATATCCGCGTAGGTACCGTGTGACTATAGAGAGATACGGGGGAAGGAGGGGAACGTCACACGGACTCTAGCTGAGAAACAAACGCATGCATGTGACATGCACATATTCTGACCCCATCTTAGAAATGTGTCAGGTGGTCTGAAACCGTCTACAAAGGTTCTCTTTGGTCGGGATTCTAATCCGTGCAGCTCACGGTGACTGGTTACTAGACCCACTCACGTACCAGTATGTCACCGAGCTGCCCCAAAAAGGTACAAAAATTGCAATGTGAAATAACCAATCCGTTTGATGCCATTTCTTTCTAGGCAAAACAGATCGTAGAACGACTTAATATGCAAGATAAGGTCCATGAAGGTATCTATACTTGCGTTGGTGGTCCAAATTATGAGACAGTTGCTGATGTTAAAGCACTGATCAATTTAGGTGTAGATGCTGTTGGAATGTCCACTGTTCACGAAGTGATAGCGGCCAGGCAGTGTGGGATAAGGTAAGCTCCTCGTCAGAAAATTCAAAATTGATTCTTTGTCTGATATCTGAGCAATCAGAGCTGATAAACTAATGAAAACGTTAGTGATCATAGAGACAAAAAACTAACTCTGAGATTTTTCAAACCTCCGAGCCCTCCAAAAAGCACTTTTTGCCTACGACCGAAAATTACAAAAAAACACGGAAACACGAGATTCGGTAACGTTCTCAATTTTTTTTCAAAATCCACAAAACACTTTAATCCTTGACATACCAGTAACTTTTTTCAAAATTCCATCAAAATGATAGTGGTGCTGCCGGAGCTATAGAGAGGAAAATGATAAGCGGACAGGCATACATAGGAGATACGTAACATGTCTTTTTGTGATCTACGAGTACATGTCCGGTAACATTTAAAAATATATTTCCGGAATGTTTAACGATTAAAATACTGCCGCACCAATTAGCGCGGCAAGTAAAAGATTCCAAGCTTTAGTCATTTTTTATCATTATGAATTCTTTTCAAAATAATAAAAGCCAAGTTTGTATCAGTAAACACTTAAACAGTCAATCTTCGAGAGGTCATAGAACAGAAAAATGACCTTCCTCAAGGAATCTGTATTTGAATAAAGGAGTATGTTACATTTAATATAAACATGCAATGGTAACCTTGTTTTCGTGCAGAAATAGCTATCAAATACAGACATGATTACATTAATGTTATAATTTATTGTATTCTAGCTTGTGATTTTGGTATATTTATGGAAAGTCATCAATCATCAATACAAGATGTGAATTATTTCCGAAGTAATGATGCAACTTGAATGAATGAATCTTGAATTTTAGAGGCATCCCGGCCACCATAAGGAGCCAGATGCAACTTACTGTACGTGTTATAGTATTAAACTGCATCTAAGGGATTAAAGATTACATAAATGTTTACATATAATTAAGTAGCCATATTATAAAAGAAATTGATAAGCTTTTAATTTGAAAAAACTGTTACTGAGAGAATATGTTTATTTACCATTCTATAAGTAAAAGATTATAGTGAATGACAAATAGACCATGTTTTGCAAAGCATTTGCCGTGACTGATAGATACAAATACATATTGCTGTATCTCCAATATTCTACTAAGATTTTGAATGAACTTGTATATTTATAGCATTTAACTCCCACTTTATTACTTAAGCTTTTATTTAACTGGACCTGCTTGGATGTTAGTATGTTTGTATGTACACATGCTTGGTTTGCATGACAATACAAAATAAACTCGTCGCTGCCATTTTGTATCCAATATGGCGGATGCTAAAAAATGGCGATTCATCGTTTCCTCAGTAACCCCTATGATGTGGACATCAAATGAAAGTGCCTGATGAGAGAAACACAAGAAGCAAAGTCATTCTAAATTAATTATGGCGGTCGCCGCAAACTGGTGATTTACATTCTTATAATAATAATAATTATTTATTTATTTATTTAAACTCTTACAAATATATTTGAATGTAGTTACATGTAGGAGAGCTTACTGGCTAGTAGAGAAACAGAGAATGCACAGAAACTTATAACTAAAAAATAACGACAAAGAAAAACTATGAAAATTAAGAAAAAAATAAAATGAGATAAGGATGTTATACTTAAATTTAAAATCAGTCTTAATTTGTTTCACAGTAGTCGAAAGGAGATCCACATCACAATTTTGTATATAACTATTACACTCATACATCATTCTATTGATAGAAGAACAACTTATAGGTGAACAGTGAAAGAGTTTGTTACCTCTTATTCTCAAGTTGATTCTAGGAACAGCAAAGAATATATTATTTATTGGGGAACACTTCTTATATTTTAAATTATTAATTATGTAGTAAATGAACAAGATATCATTCAAATCACGCCTAACGCTCAACCGCACAGTTTTAAATTCTGTAAGCATAGGTACTATTATAAGAGATCATGTATGTATAAGCATTGTTTGTCCTTAAGTACAGATATCTTAAAAATCTTTTTTGTACCCTTTCGATCATATCAACATGCACCATTGTTTTGGGTGCCCAGACAACAGAGGCATACTCCAAAACAAGTGGGACCAGTGAGTTGTACAAAATTATTATAGACTTAGTTTCCTTGAAGTAATCTGTATTCCTTATCACAAAACCCAGGATCCTATATGCTTTGTTTACAATAGTTTCATAATGCTGATTAAATTTTAGGTTAGTCTGAAAGCAGACACCAAGATCCTTACATTCACTTTTCCTACTTATGGTAATAAGTTATCAATTTTGTAATTAAAATCTATAAATTGTGCTTTTCGTGTAAAAGTTAATAATATTCAACGACATTTTATTCTCCTTGACCACTGTGACACTGAATTTAAATCAGTTTGCATCTCAATACAATCTTGAAGGCAAGTTATATGCTTGTATAGTTTAAAATCATCAGCAAATATGAGACATTTGGCATATTTTACACAGTTTATATGAGGGAATATTATCATTGCCAGTGGCCTTTTTTGCTTTTAACTTCTTAATGGCTGCCTGTATTTGCATTTCTGAGATGGACAGAATGAGAAGTTACCATTACAAACGTCAAAGTTCGGTTTTTCGGATTGTTCAAACACAAAGCTAAAGTTGAGAGCAAATGTATCAGCTATTTCCTGGGCACCATCAATAGTACATCCTTTATAGCATACCTCAGAAGGGATACCAGGTCCAGAACGCCTAGACCTGACAAAGTCCCAAGAGCCATTTGGATGAGTTTTTACATTTTTTCAATTTTTTCATGATAGGCCTGTAGTTCATTTGCAGTCTGATATTTGATTGCAATTTAATAATAATAATAATAATAATAATAATAATCCGGCTTTATTTATACAAAGTATGTAAGACACCATTTTGTGACCACCGTCACCTCTACGACATGGATATCAAATGAAAGGGCTTGAGAGCAACAGAATAAGCAAACTGACTTCATTCTAAATCCCCTATCTCAGTCGCCGAAAGATAGCGACTTACAATTTTACATGTAACGTCACTTTAAATCCAATACGGTGGCCGCTGCAAAATGGCTATTTACATATTTCATAGTTAAACATAGCAAGGCAACGCGATCTCATTTTGAATCAAGTATGGCAGCCAACGTGAAATGGCGATTTATAATTTTCATAGTCACTGCTATACTATGTATATGAAAGGGCTTGATGAGAAAACAATAAGCCAGGTGGCGTCATTCTTGATCCAATATGGCGGCCGTTGCCGAAAGTAGAAACATCTACCTGTTTTTGTAGTGAAAATTAAAATTATAGGGCGTCTTCTCTATGTTTGAAAATGATTTTAATCCCATTGCTCGTTACAGGTGTTTCGCGTTCAGTTTGATCACCAACGTATGTTCTGCTGAGTATGGTGTCGATTGTACAGATATTCATTCAGAAGCAGTACTCGAAGTGGGCAAACAGATGCAGGAGGAGCTGCAGATTTTCGTGGAAGAGGTCGTTGAAGCCATTAGCCAAGATAACTAACAAATGTAACGCCTGATTTCTGTATCAACCCTCAGATTCTTTTTGCAGTGATCTCACTATAACAGAAACATCTGAGCTATTCTCACAACATATTTGTTTGTTTTGTTTTACTTTTATTTATATATGCTATGCACCTCCTCTTCGGACGAGTCTTATGTCATTTTTATAATCTATCTGTCTATGACGTCTAACGAAATAAGATAGCACAAAGTGCCATCTATTACTAGAACTGACTAATGCGAGAGTGGAATAGTTGCTATCACTGATGACCAATCATGGTGGTTGGACGTACTAAAGCTATATTACTAGTTTGTTGATTGGCAAGTAGGTCGCTTCTACTATACCGCCAGAATCGACGGCATCTAGCGGCAACAGTGGTGACCCGGCTGTCAAATGTGGGTTAGCAGTTCCAACACATAGCTTGCTATCTCACTTTCGCAGTGGCAGATTCTGTTCATGGATGGCGCTTTGTGCTGTCTTATTGTCTCTGTAACGCGTGAATTACGAGGTGTACACAGAATACCCATCTACCATTACGGAAGCGTTTTTAGTAAAAAAGCGTTTTTAAAAAATGGTTTTTGAAATGATTAACTACATTGGTCACTCAAAAGCCAAGCTTCAATATTTAATTAATCCTCTGTTGCATTACTGACGTACCTACATATGTCGATGAAAATACAGGGTGCGGCAGAGAGGATGGACGGTTTTAAAAAAATCATAAAATAGTGAATTTTTACTCGAAAACAAATTTATTGATGGAATCAGGTTCGCAAGGAAATAGCATTTGAAACAGCCAAGTGTGGAAAATCACATCAGGCATGTGGTGGCCGAAATCGTAGATGCAGTGCTGGAGGCGTTCTTGGAAGTTCGCTTTCGTAACTGTTGCACAATGGCCAATTTGTAGGGGTGAAAGCGGAGATCCATATGCAAAATTCGCCTTACCGAACGATCACTAAAGCGAAGTGCAGCAGCATGTTTCCGGGCAGATCGAGTCGGACTGCGAAGAAAGACCTGTCGAACGCGTTCAACATTTTCAGGAGTTCGAACTGTTCGCGGCGCTTCTCTTGGTCTTTTGTTGATCAGTTCACCACGCCAGTGAAGTGATTCAACCCAACGAAGGATGGTGTTTCGAGAGGGAACAGCTCTATTCCGATGAATGTTGAAGTGGCGACGAAACTCACGCTATACGACGATGACTGACTCATTATTTCGGACGAAACAATCATAGGCGAAAACGCGGTGCTCCACCGTCCAAGGCTCCATAACGACAACTGGTAAAATAATGCTAGGATCTCACGAGTCGAACGGCACCCTCCCCACCTCTCTCGTAGACGGTGGCGGGGAGTACTACCCATCCCAAAAACGTCCGTCCTCTCTGCCGCATCCTGTATACTGTTGGACCAGCGAAAGATTGCAAGCCGAAAGAATGCGGACAAAAAATTGCGAAGTTGTCAGATGTTCTACATAAAATGCGGTCCATACATATTAACATATTTAAGATATAGAATTGTTCCGCTGAATTTGGCAATGTAGCTGGAAAACCCAGGCCGCAGGTAAACATCCGGTCGCTGATTGGTCCAAAACTCTTATCTTATCTGAAACTAGAATAACGTGCCGATGGCACGGTCATTTAAAAAATATAAACCTACTCCCATAGGCGTAGGCAGTTGGCAAATACTTTGAAAATATAATTTACTGTTTAGTGGTGATAATGGAATTCAAGCATGGGAAAGTTATTCACAGCCAGGCAAGGGAAATAATAGCAAACGTGATACGTGCTTGCGATGCAGAAGCGGCTAACAATACTTTCGTTTATCCACTGGTAGCTAGAAATGCAAGGGCGGCATATTATACGGGTGTTAGTGAACGAACTATAAGTAAAATTAGAAAAGAAGATAAAGACAGGCAAAATGCAACCTCCACACAGCCTTTAGCTTCTCCCGGAAAAAAGAGATCACGCCCTTCTGTGATCCAAAAAATTGATGGAGTCGATTTTTCCATTATTCGGAGAATGATAGAAAAATTTTACTGTGATTTTAAAGTGGTACCTACTTGTAGTAAACTTCTAATCAAACTGAAGGAAGAAATGGAATTTCCATTTGGTAAAGAATCGTTGAGGCTGCTTTTAAAAGCAAAAGGATTTTACTGGCGTAAATGCCACAACAAAAGGAAATTACTAATGGAAAGACCCAGTATTTTACATTGGCGATACAAGTATCTTAGGTCTATTAAAAAGTTCCGGGAAGAAGGAAGGCATATTATTTATTTGGACGAAACTTGGGTTGATAATGACCTCACTTTCAAGAAATGCTGGCAAAGCGAAGAAATTATGGGTGTCCTGAGCAATATAAGTTCTACAGGTAATAAAGTTTCTTTCACCTCGATTTTGCTTATTATACATTTTTCTCAATTTTGGAATATTCTTAATAAGTGCTCATTTAATTTGTCTAATTGAATACATAATCCCTTGCAAGTATTTTTTTCTCAAAAATATGTTTTTTATACATAGTGATTCAAAAAGGTGTTGGCAAACTTAAAATAACACTAAAATGAGGCTATTTATTCATTTCCAGGACGACTTATAATTGTTCATGCGGGTTCGCAAGATGGTTTTGTTCCTGGAGCCTGTCTCATTTTCAAGGCTGGCTGTGCCACTGGTGATTATCACGGTCAAATGAACCAAGAAAATTTCACGAAGTGGCTTACTGAAAAACTATTTCCTAACATTCCTCCTAATAGTATTATAATAATGGATAATGCACCTTACCATTCAGCTTTGGAAGACAAGCCTCCAACTAGATCTTCTCTAAAAAGAGACATCATCACGTGGTTGAGCAAAAAAGGTATAGAGCATGATCCTAATGCTAAAAAAATGGAGCTTTATGAAATAGCTTGTCTACATAGGCCACCATCTGATGAGAAAAATTATAAGATAGATAATTTAATAAGAAGTTTCGGACACACCCCACTTCGAACGCCACCCTATATGTGTCAGTTTAATCCCATAGAGATGATTTGGGCACAAGTAAAATTTTTCATTAGAAGCCATAATACAAGCGGCGAATTTACTATAAAAAAACTAGATGAAATTTCTAATAAGGCCATCGCTTCAGTAAGTGCCAGTGACTGGCAAAAGGTTATTGGACATGTTATAAAAATTGAAGATGAATATTGGGAAAAAGACAGTCTCATTCAAGAAATACAGGAAGAAATAATAATCAACATAGGAGGTGAAAGTGATAGCAATGACAGTTCCTCAGACAGTGATCATGACTCTAATCAGGATTGAAACTATACTAGATTGGCTACCTTTTAGAATTTTTAGATATTCATTTATTATACTATTGGTTTGTGGCTTTTAGTATCTCAGTAGAAAGTCTAATTCTATGTGTTGTTTATGGGTTATTTCATCAAGAAATTACTTTTTGTTTTCCTATATTTTTCTATTCAGTCAGATATTTTTGACTTGTTGTATTCTATTTTAGAAGAATGCATAATTTGTTTTGCTGTTCAATCATAATGCGTACATAGGAATATTACTTGTTGCCTAAAAAATATATTTATTTTGTTCTCAATATTCAGTGTTTGTGTATATTTATTTCTTATAATGTATGTTTGGTATCACGTCATTATGAATCGCAAAAAAATATTAATACTACCAGTTGTAATAAAATATAAATTCAATTAATAATTCAAGTCTCTCCGATCTCCGCCTATGACTCCATATAAAATCGTCTAATGGTAAGGTTTTTTCATCGCATTTCCCCCTTTCGTCCCTAGCAATCTTTGGCTGGTCGATCAATATGTATTAGGATCTATGAATGTTTATTCATATACGGAGGAAGAGTCATCAAGGTAATGCATCAGTGGGAGATTTATCATACAATCACGCTATGATGTAACTGGGATGACTAAAAGTCGCAGTCGGAGTTACAAGAATCACACTGAATAGCGTAATGAACATGACCAAAGGAATTGTTTGGAAAACTTAATGTAAAGTTGTAGTTTTAATTGTGATTTTCAATTTGTTGGTAATCTTTTTATCATCATACTTAAACGTGATCCCCAATCGACTCAGTTGTCAACTGGATACATGAATCGAAAGCGGACACTCTGGTCCCTCCGAGAGGGTCACGATTTAGATTTTTCCTCTACCTTTTATCATACATGTTCTTTAAATGCTGTTGTAGCCAGGATTATCTATTTATAGATCAATAAAGTGTTAATAAACAGCATTCGAAACAATAGTGTCTTTATTAATCCCTCAGATAAAACTTTATCGTATACCTGTTCTAATATGAAACTAGCATCTTAAAATATCGAAATTAATTTCATCATGCTGTTCAAAATGTAATGTTTACATTAATAATATGATAAGAACGTAAATACTGAACTGAGAAGTAAAAGTTTATCTTCAATATGTGAAATGATTTGGCTTCTGTGAGCTCTTTGAAGGGGTATATTTATGTACAGTCATGCTTTATCTATATCACTCTTCCCGTAACAATAAATAATAGCTTAAAAAAAATTAAATAATACGCTTTTATAGCTAACCTAACTGAAAAGTAGAAAATAATTTTTAATTTTTATCGACTGTAAATTCAAAGCTTTGCTGTTTACCAAATTTTGTTCCGTAAACTAAATACAGGCCAAGTTTATAAAAGCGTGTTAAAAATAGATTTAACGTAACGCACTTTAGCATACTGCAGGCAAAATTCACCAACGTCTTCCACTATTAGAATAATAAGTGTATAACCGGATGGTTTTCTGGACTTAGTTGCAAAAAGTGTCACTTCGACTTCCTATTCCATTTCAGTTATGCTCTATAAAAAGCTCACGCCTATCATTATTTCATAATTCTTAGAATTTCAAAAATGAGTAATCAGTTGTACTGGCCAGTCCAAGCATTGTATCAACTAATTTTCAAACTTCAAGGCACGAGTTTTCGGTGATCTTAAGAAACTTTATATAATATTAATAATAATAATATAAGTTTATTCACGTATAAAGTATTACAGTTTGTAGAAAATAAATATGTGTATATACGCAAATAAGCTGAAATAATCCCACAGAAGAATTTAATTCTTGTGCGTGGGAAAACATTTTTCATAACAATTTTTGCTTAAAACAGTTAAATACAGTTAATACATAAATTTAAACACAACATAACCATAACTATAAGTGTAATAATATTATATTCAAATACTAATTTATTTTCATTTTAGTGAGTTTTTCTATTTCATGTCGATTATTATTTAACAAGAATTTTTTTATTTTAATTTTGAATCTATTTTTATTTGAAATAGATTTTATATGGCTTGGTAAAAAGTTATAAAATCTAGTGGAGAGATAACTGAAGCATCTTTGACCTACTTTTTTTTAAATTGTTTTCTTTTAATTTCCTCGACTTTACTTCTTGTTTCATATTTGTGGTCCAATGAAATGAGCTTTGTTTTATTTTTGAATAATTTGATCAAAACATTGTAAAAAAGGAGCTGCCTAAGATCGAGTTGCCTCGCTTCGGAATATAACATATCAGACGGATATAGAATTGGCCGTTTAAAAATAATTATCAAACATTGTTTTTGGATTATTTCTAGCTTCTTAATTTGGTTGGTGAGAGCACCTCTCCAAGCTAGTATGGCATAATTTAGGCGACATTCAATAAGTGCATGATATAACATCTTCATTGTTGCATGGTCTACATATTTAGTGAGGCACTTGAATTTAAATAATAATCATCTTAAATTATTTACTCTATGATCAACATGGAAATTCCACTTTAAATGAGGATCCATATGAACACCTAAATATTTTGTTTTATCAGCTGAATGTATTAATGTACTTGTATTCTCACATTTAATTTGTAAAGAGGTAAATGACGGTAATTTATTTTTAAGGTTTGCAAAAGGCGTATACTTGGTTTTCTGAAAATTGATTGTTAGATATTTGTGTCTAAACCAATCTGAAATTAAAATAATGCCATGGTCTCTTTAAGATTATCCCAGGAATTGTTATTAGAATAAAGTATCGCTGTGTCATCTGTCATATTATTGTGCTTTGCGACTTCAAGCTAAGTAGGCTACTGATATACACAGTAGAAAATAATGGGCCTAAAACTGTTCCTTGTGGTACACCATAAGTCACAGTTTTTTTTTGAACTTATGGAATCATTTATTTGAATATATTGCTTTCTGTAAAACGGATAACTTCTTATGAGGTTTTGAGCGTTTCCTCTAATTCCTGCAATGTATAAAGTTTCTAATAGTAGCGAGTGATCCACCCTATCAAACGCTTTTGCTAGGTCTAAGAATAGTCATAATGTATATTTACTTTTCTCTAATTTATGAATTTTGAAGTCATCATATATGTATATGTGCATCTGTGTTCGCACGAATATTCAGCTTCCAGCAAAACCAAAAAGCTATTATTACGAAAAAGTCATATTCCATAATAATATCAGTTCTATGTTTATACGTATAAACTTTTCCTCAGTCACTCGTTAGGTTCATTAACACATTAATTAGAAACGTTGAATTTGGTTGGACTTCTTGTCATTGTCACTACGACAAATCCTAACAACAATTTTAAAAGCATTTCAAGTTATAAAAGCATGTGTGTTGGGTCTTTCAGAATTATTTTACCCAAAAAGCCTCAGCAAGAAATTAGTGTCATTTAGTCACTCAGATTCAAAATAAAGGCAACGAGCAAAATTTTTGTTAAACGTCAACTTCTTTACTTTTACCTCAATTTTATTGATTTTTCCGGCAGCCGGTAACTCTTTTAATCTTTTAATTTAAGAACAGGATCTATTATCCTTTTGCTATCTTAACCTCCAATTCTGTGTTCCTGAAAATTCTAGCGAGGATTGTTCTTTTGCAACAAAATGAATGTATCACAAACATCTACAAATTTTAATCAGTATTATACTCTTCAGATAGGCGCCTTCTAGTCGTTCTCGAGTGAAATATTACTCTTAGATAATATTTCCTTCATTGTATGTGAGGGAGAATTATTTAGGGATATTTTTAATTATCAAGAGCGGCTCATTTTAAAATTGCATACTCCAGGTGATGGATAACCAACTTGTAACATATTTAGCCAAACACAACCAGAAGAGGACAATAGGATGTACCGCTGTCCTATGACCTTAATGAGGTGTTTTGCATCCCGAAGTGGCAAAGCCAGTGTTCGCCAAGGGTCAGTTGAAATATTTTTTCTGTTCGTAAAGCTTCTGATCCACATTCTCTCGGACGCCAGTACTTTGCATGCAGGTATTCAAAATGTCAAACCGAGTTTAGAGAGTTGACGAGAAGGCGATTGGTGTCGATACAAATATGAGTTCCTCTTTGAGATAAGCCGCGAAGATTATCACTTATGTGTTCGTTAGCGCAACAGTCTTACGCCCTTACAATCACAGTACTGTATTTTGGGCAACAAAAGGAATCGTTGAGAATATAACTTCGCACGAATACGTCTCAATAGAGGCAGAAGCTGTGAAAAAGGCTGAGATATCCGTATATGTCTTTTCATCTCAAATTTCACTAAAATCGCTGAACTTCGAGAGAGTCACACAATTCAAATAATCAAATATGAGACATTGCCGTATTATTCAATTATTTTCCTAAAGTGTGTTTACATTGAGCTATTGCTATTATGAGATATGAACCTTTTTAAAACAGATTAATAATTATTGCGAAGAGGAGAAAGGAGAAAGGAGAAAGGAGAAAGGAGAAATGAGAAAGGAGAAAGGAGAAAGATATCAAATCTCATTTCATCTCGAATAATTTCGATGCGTGAATATAGTATTAGGTTGGCCATCTTCAGGTAGAACACGTTAGTAAAAGAGCACGGAAGTAAGCCTAGTAAGACATCTCATGATTGATATGATCCCAAATGGATGTATGTATACATTATAATTTTCCGGTCATCTCTTTGTCACACTGATATCTAAAATAATTATGTAAGCAGTGATAGTTGTTGATACAATGTTTTATTGCCTAAAGCTTTCCTATGACGTTTTATCTTGTTTTTCTCGCTTTATGGAACAAGTTTCAATTGAATTCGTTATTTGATATATAATCAAGAGAGATTGGATAAAATCATCTTGTCAAAACAAATGAACTTGTTATTATTCACACACAATAAATGTCGAGTACAACCTGTGCAACGCTAGTCAACAAAATATTAAATTTTCGAATTATCGCTGTATCTGTTTATTTTTACTTACTTAATCTCTTCCTCTTCTACCGGATCTAGCCAGTATAAAAATTGATATCTTTCTATGCTTGTTTAGTGTTCTCTTATTTTCTTTCTCTACTTTGTTGTCTTTAGCTAATCTTCTGCCGTTTTCCAGTCCAAATGCATTCATCTAAAGTACCCCAGTATTTCGTCATTTCACTTCCTTCTACGCTTTCCTTTTTTTCTTAAATTTTCCCATTCTGCAAGACATTTTTCGCCAATCTTGTATTTGACATTCTAACCATGTGTCCAAACCACCTTTGTATTATTTTTTCTACAGCTAATGTTCTTATTTCTACATTAAATGTATTTTCTGACTTTGTCTTCAGACCCGCAATTCTTCTTAGCAGTTTCACTTGCCTGTATTTTCTGTCTCTGTCTATTCTGTGCCATATGTTAGGGTAGAGATATACAGTGAGTTGAACATCCTTGATTTTGTTTTCGTAGACATTTCTTTTTTGTTAAATAGGCATTTATTCGGTTCGAAATATAATCTTGTAGTTGCTTTTATTTGATCTTCTATTTCTGCCTCATTTTTTCCTTCCTCTGTTAGCATTATTCTTAATCATATGTGTTGTGGGACTTTAGAAATACTCATACATTTTGTTTTGTTCATATTTATTTTCAGTTTATATTTTCTTAGTTCCTTATTCCACACCTCAAGGTTATTTTGTAGGTCTTCTTTTTTTGTTACAGTACTAAGTCATCTGCGAACACCAATTGGTTAACATTGATCCTCTCCCTTATTACACGTTGTTTTCTTGATGTTATTTCCTCATTCGTTTATAATTTTGTCCATTAGTACAGTGAACAGATATGGGCTCAACGTTCCTCCTTGTCTCACTCCTGATGTAGTTGTAAACATTTCAGATTTTTTATTTTTTGTGCTTACATAGTTATCGGTATTCTTATATTGTTTTGTGTATGTTTTCTATTACCCTTTGTCCACATTTCCACATTAGATTCAATTCGGATTTTTTTGTTTAGTATTCTTGGGCTTATGAATTCGCATCTGTTTACCTTTCCCTTCCAATATTTGTGAATCAGCCCTTTTTGTGTCTGTTACTCCACTGTATGTCAGCAGGTTATCGTTTATTGACTTGTTATCTTGTCCTTACTTGATGTTTCGCTTATTCCTAAAATAGTTTAAGCTTTGTTCTTTCGAATTGCATTATTAATTCTTCTTCTTTCCCTATCGGACTTCTGACATCCCATGTTCTTAATTCTTGTTGCCTTTGGATGTATTTTTCTTGATTTTTACTTTACTCATATCTTCTTTACATTCCGTATCCGGGATTTATTATGGAGCGAAAATAAACCGAACTGAACCTTGCTCTTTAGATTCATTCTTCAGATATTTGTTTTTGTTTTTATTTTAAGTACTTGGCCTATACAAAAATAAAAAGTAATACGAGTAGTGATTGAATTAAATTGTCGAGCTGAGTAATATGTATTGGATATTTGGAAAAATAACTGTTGAAATAAAGCATTCAAATTCAAAAATACTACGGTTGAGATCTGCGTGCCGTTTGAGCAGTGTCAAGAGGAGATTTAACATTTACATTTTGCAGTAAAAGTTGTGATCTTCAAAATATTCTACTTTTTAAAAATTTCCAAGGTAGTGAGTTTTCATTGTTTTTACAGTTGACATGGTATTCAAAGTTTTCAAAAAATTGGAAATACCGGGAGATTTGGTAAAGTTTTGGAAAAGGTGGAAACCTTGAAGAACACTTGAAGAATTTTAAGAATCATGAGAATTTTGAGGACGATTAGAGCCTGGAAATGTTTAGGAATCGAAGTATTTTTAGGGAAAGATTTGAAATTCAGAACTGATACAAGTGCGGCATCTTTTTAATAGAGAAAACCGTATTTCCGCAACATTGTTTGTGGCTTGAATTTGATAAAATGCATTATCTATTCTTTCTTGTAACTGATCAACAGTCTTAATTTGTTCATCATCCACTAGTTGTTTAAAAGCGCCCCACAAAAAGAAATCCAGGGGACTCAAATCAGGAGACCTCGCAGGCCAATGTAACATACGGGTCCGTTTCTGCCAATCCATCGTTGACTAAAATGATTATCTAACCATGAGGTTATGTCACGGCGAACATGCGGTGGGGCACCGTCGCGTCGTGCTGATATCACATTCGTACTCTCGTTGCTAACTGAAGATCACATTTTCTATGTGATTCTCTAGAAAAGCTAAGTATGAGTTTGCATTTAAATGTTTTGGCAATACGTGCATAAACAGTTGGCCATTGAAAATGTCGCACCAGACATTTCTAGAAAATCTGTGTTGAAACGGGTGAATTCTTACAGAACGAGGATTTTCTAACGACCAAATATGTTCATTATGAGAATTAAAGGTTCCACGCCTCGTAAAAAGCGATTCATCTGACCACAAAACCAAATCAATAAAATCTGCATGTTGATTATGCATTTGCAGTAACCATTCTCAAGAATTTCGCCGTTTTACTTCGTCGCCGGGCTGCAGACATTGCACATTTTGCCGATGATAAGGATGTAAAACTTCCAGATTTAAAATTCTCCAAATTAATCATTCCCAGTTCCTCTTGAACAGTATGTCGGACACCATGGCGTCTAACTCCGGGAAGTTTGGCTATTCGATATTGCTGAATTCTTAGAAATGAACGCGTAAAAGCCTTCGGGGTAGGTTGGAGTCTATTAGGAAATCTAGGTACGTTGATTCCATTTCACAATACTCAAAAATAGAAAAAATAGTTTTGACTTGATTTTAACAAACAAAAAATGATGGTAGTCGGCTAATCATGAATGATCTAATTTGTTTTATTTTTATTTTTACGAAAGCAATTCACTCTAGGAAAAGAAAACAAGAGTAATTATTTGTAACAAATTAAAGGCAAAATTCGAAAAATTGCGCGTTTAGAAAAAAACAGTGGCGTAGCATTTTTATTTGGGAAAAAAGTTCCACTAATCCCTTGTATCTCCGACACTGGGGCACGTTAATTTTGAGTAAAGACTTGTGAATGTGGACAATACTTAACTAGATCCACATATCAAATTTCAGTTCATTCTCGTTGATGGTTTTGAAGATATTAAAAAAAAGTTTTTTATCTTTAAACTTCAACACCCCGTATCTTTTTAATGAAGCCCTCGAGGAAAAAATGTTACATAAAAGACCCCCCTTAAAATGCGGTCCTGTGTATGATGTTTCATTTTTTGGTCACGACTTGTGAATCACCCTGCATAAGTGTTTTTTATGAAAGGCCCAAATAGCACACTAATAGTTCTGACAAAGCTTACGCGTTTTCAATGCCATTGCACTACCTGTAAAATTGTACTAGAAGTTGTTTCGAAGGCGTGGAAATATAGAATCAATACACTTTACACCATTTTTTTCTTTCACAGGTCCAGGCTCCGTAAGGTGGAAGCCTTTAACCTTGACACTGCTGATACTGCGCGGCATTTGCTACGCCCTTGCGTAGCAGCTCCACAGATATTTGAGCACTATTCTATGTCGGACTCAATCCGAACTTTGTAATAAAGCAACGACGTGAGCCTCACAGAATGACAAGATGAACTTAAGTGTATATTGTAAAATTTGACTTGACCAACAAACTAGCACCCCAATAACCGATAGCACACATTTCCGTTTATTTGCTGCGTATTCTAGAAAGATTACTTCGCCAATAAAACAAAACACAAACAGCATCAACTCGGCTAACCATCAGCGTCGGTCGGGGTCAGATTGTGAAAGACTATTGGGAGATAAAAAGCTTGGATGTTTAAATTTTCCCAGCACCCAGCGATGATGGCATGCCTACAGTCCAAATAACAAACAACATAATGCAATATCAAACCACCAATGACGATACTCGCTTGGTTGGATCTTTCTTATCTCGACATTTTTCACACAATGTTATATAAACTCCGACAACAGCTTTGACTTCAAGTTCAGTTGCTGATAGTGCCAAATTCAGGACGGACGTTTTTGTTAGTTGTTGGTAGGTACCTATGCTCGATTGTTATTATTTTTAAGCTCGTCAAAGATAAACAGAGATAATGAAAGCTTCGAATGCTATCACTAATATCAATCAGCTCAAGTATCTTAAGAGGTTTAAATGGCCTCATTTATTACTGACCTATTGGTGATTCTCGAACCCCGAACCATTGTTGTCACTTACGCTGACTTGCACTCCCTATTGAGTATTAGTGATAATATGAGCTATCATAATAGTTTAGTGTATCATAAGGATCTATGTAGAAATATCGCCCTTGCTTCCATTTAACGTCAGTTTTGTAATTGGCGGTCATCTTATTTAGTCACATTTGGTAACGAAAAGAAAACGTCTATAGTCTATGATATACACATTTCAAAAATTTTCGGTGTAGTTTACTATAATTTAGTCTGAGGACCAATTGTTCCACATACGAGCCCCTTCCCACTTCAGTTGGCCCACTTCAAGATTTGTACCAAAATATGCCTTTATAAACTAAACATGACGAAACTATTTACTTCTGAAACAATTTATTTTTTCAAAAACATTTTAGATACACTCTAGTCGTAAAAAATACATATTTGAAATCACTTAGACCTATAACTAATAGAACATCTGAACAAATAAACAATGTGCGAATAAATGCGCCAAGTTAATAAAGCAACAATTGAAAGATTACCATTGGTAACATCACCTTTATTTTTTATTATGGCTGAAATTCTTTGGGGCATAGTGTTAATCTAGTTTTGGCAAAAATTTGGTGTAAAACAATGCCATATTTCTTGAAGCTTTTGTCTCAGTTCGGTGATTGAACGAGCAGGTTATTGTCGTAGAACCTTTTTCATCTCGTGCCACAAAGTTTCAATAGATCTGGACTGCTAGAAACCCATTTCAAAAGTGGTACATTATTTTCTTCCATCCATTTTATAGCCTTTTTTGAGGTATGGCATGCTGCACCATCTTGCTGAAACACAAAATCTTGGCCGGATGTCAAACATTCTTCCATCACTGGTAAAAGCGATTCTTCTAAAATTGCCAATTGTATCCACATTTCCATCAATAAAATGAAGTTTTCCTACTCCTTTGAATGACATATTGCCCCAGACCATAATGGATGCTGGAAATTTCACTTTTCTCTTCAGACAGTCAACATGCTTCATTTTTTTGCGAATAACTCTACTGCGACTGTCACCAACACAAACTTCGAATCGGGCCTCATCACTCCATTGTATTGCACATCATTGTTGAGGTGTCCATTGTCTAGGTTCTTTAGCGCATCTAAGCCGATTTTTCTGTTGCAGTGGAGTTAATAGTGGCTTTTCTTTGGCCTAGAAACAAGTTGTGCAACTTTAGGGTTTCTACTTCACTTTTTTCATAAGAAAACTTACCTTGCAAGTGGTAAATCCCAATTTGTGGGCCTCTCTATGAGTTGTGGACCTCAAAATTCTCCTTCCAACAGCGTCACTCCACAGAGCACTTAATTCTAAATACATAATTGACACGCCTGTTTTTCACGATTATTCTTCTTAATGCTCTTCGGTCGGCATTTGTGATATTATTTTTTTTCACATATCGTGGCTTAATATTAACTGAACCAGTTACATTATATCTTCAAAATTTCTCACACTGTACCGCGATAAATCTAACAAAGTTGCAATTTCTGAGTTTGATTTCCCAGAATTAAAAAATTTAATTATCAGTAACCGAATTTTCTCACTAATAACCTTTCCTCTACCCATTTTGAAAACCTTAACTACCCAAAACTATTTTAAGCGTATTCTGACAGCTGTGATTAATAAAAACAATTGTCATGGCTTTTATTTTTCACAGCCACCTATGCGTTATAGACTTATTTTGCATTGAAATGAAAATAGGTTGATATGCTGTAATTGCAACATGTGTAATTTTTATGCTGCAAATTTGATTAGGGAGTGATAAAGTTGGTGTTTTCTACTATATACGTATATTATCAAAATATTCATTGTTGATATTTTAAACCTATAACACCCTGCTAAATTTTTATTATTTGTGTTTGATAAGAAAAAACTAAGATATCAATAGTTGGGCCAACTGAAGTGGGAAGGGGCTCGTATTCATTAACCTATCATGTATGGGATCTTTTGTTATCCAAGGGCTCAACTGTCAAAAGAGAATGTATATAGATAGCGCGTGCTTCTCCAGGTATGTCACTTTTTCCTCATCTACAACAATACTTGGATTATAAATCTTATCAAATCCAAAATTCAGATTTTGCGACAATTAGCAGAAGGGCCGTTCTTCCTTGAATCTCCTATTTTTGGGACAATAGTATGCTGTAGTTAATCATAGACCTTTCTGAAAGTAAATCATAAACAAACCATTTTTAGCAGATCTTCCTTTTTGGTAGAGATACGATCTCTCTCTGCCAAAAGCTACTTTTGAAAAGTTCCTTATAAGTTTCTACAACTAACTCCTTATTGTTTAGAAATAGTGATATTTACTGCGATAACAAATATAGAACTACATGTCAAGCGGAAACATATTGAAAGTTGTTCTGTGAGGAACTTTGTAAAGGATAAATTCCAAAAGAGCGGCCTCCCTAGATAGTCGATAGCTATTTCACTTAACTAGAAAAGCCATATAGCTTGAGGGTAGCATTTGGTTATTTCTAGAATAATTGACAGATTGGGAGATGAATTTATCTGATTGGAACTGAACTCTTACATAATTTGGTTAAAGACAATTACCTATATTTTTAACTGAGGCGATTTAGACTGTGTCACAGAAGAGTTAAATGCAAAACGCCTCCAGTAAACATCTTCCTTGGCCGTCCTCTTGTAATCTTTATCGTTGTTTATATAGAGACTTGCTCTCATTTTATTCTGATAATATATGCTAAGCATGTTCTCTGAAGGTAATTTTAAAATTCAGATACGACCTTTTTGAATTATTTTTATATGGCAAATCGCTTATTACAGTTCTGACTTCTGATACTACTTTTGTGTGTGAATAATTTTGCTAATGAAGTATTTTAAGTGGAAGAATAACCTGTGGCTAAACTTCGCCCTAATAGAGAACCAGTTATTATTATTATTTAGCCAGACTTCAATCAATCCTTTGTTTGATCTAAATTGCAATAACAATAAAATCAGTTGCATTAGAATTTGTTCAAGATTTGCAAGAATGGACGTTTCGCCAAAAGGTATGCAAAGTTATTTTAGAAAACCGCTTAATTAGAAGCAGGAACTCTCATGGACATCTAGATATTCCGATATAGGTCTGTTAGTTATTTTCTTATGGATGTTTTGGCTTTATTACCATCATGTTTGTCTTATTGGAAATTCAACTTAATTTAAATTTAACGTAACATATGTCAATGAGAAAAATCAACTAGTTATGATGATACTGGATTATCAATGAATGATATTAATCAAACAAATCATTAAGAAAGTACGACCTATATTTATATACCTATGAATCATTCAAGAAATCACGTGTTGAAGCTTGGCCCGGTACTTTATCAATATCCTGGATAGATATTGACAATTACGTAGCGAAAAACTTCCGAGATTCGTCTTATAATAAATATTTCATAAATACTTCCAGTGCACAAAATATCAGAGTTTTTGTGGATGAATTTAAATTCAAGTCCCGTTAGTGTTCAATTTTCATAGCAGCTTGGAGAAGACGGTAAATTCAGCCAGATGCAACACGATTGCGTCCGTGCTTTCAAAGTACGTTACTCCAGTAATCATGTCTATGCGTTGAAAGTTCTCATTGGAATTGCAGTTAAAATCTAATGCTTCAATTTACATGTCTTGTATTCCATTTCAGATAAAATCTAGTGACATTTGGAATCATGGTGAATAAGAACGCTTTAGCCAATGGAAATGGCGTAACTCATCAAAACAGAAACAACCACAAGCAGCATGGTCACAGTCACCATGACAATGCTCACCACAAAAACACGCAATGTGTTGACCAGGAACTCAGGCTGGATAGAACCGACGAGGAGTTTCTGGAAAATCACGTCGTCCATGCCAAAAACGATAAGTAAGTCGTATTTCAAACAATGAGCACAATCAACGTAATGCGATCCAGCGGTACAGCACTTTTATACTGAAGGGCGGCAGCCTATGATGGCTTGCGAGTTTGACTGCAGTTTTCATGTTGCTGTCATATTTGATAGTCTCTTGGTTCAATGTTGTGGACTGTCAAAGCTTTGCACGGCTACTGCTATTCAGCATAAAAGCGCTGCACCACCACACAAATTTACGTTGGCTGAGAGCACTTTTTGACTGAATATTATGTACCATATTTTTGTTTTGAACTACCAACTTCTAGAAAGTGCTTTCATATTCTCTAATTATATAAGAATCTGTTGTAAATAGGTCCCTACAAAATATGAGATATCGATCATGGATAAGATAAAGTTAGTATAATGAAAATGTTGAATCAAACAAGGAATATATAGCGTGACATAATTTATATAATTTCATGAATCTCTGAAATCGCTCACGATAAACCATTGATTTTGTATGATTTGCAGATAAAGTTTATTTTAATATCTTCAGCACATGGATATTGAAAAATGATACGCCGGAGCGTGACTTTAAAAATATCATTTCTTTCCAAGGCATCCCTGAAAACTTTCAAGAAGAGTAACCTAAAATTTGAATATTTCGGTGTAAATAACAAAAAGAACTATGTGAGATTGCAATTGATTCTGATAGTTTATACTCAATTCCAGTAAATGCAATAAACAAATGTGCCAAAACACTATACAAAATAAAATAACAGCTATTCTAAAACACTGTATACTTTTCGTTTTCAGTTTTCTTTAGAATAAAGTTCTGTTTAGCTCGAAAAATTCTAGTTCATTCCGCCTACAAATTACTAGAAAAATTTGCCAATGCTAGCTTTCCAAAGAGGTATTTTATAAGAGCGTTTAATTCTTTTTAAATAATCGGTCAAATTAATAATAATCCCTTAACTAAATGATAATCTTAATAACTGTATTAATTTCTCACAAATCTTGCTCAGTTCGAGCCTTTTAGCTGGGAATGGGGACTGTATTTAGTTTTTAGCTGCTGCTTTTATCATCTCCAAGTAAGAACTGACTGAGCCTTAGTAATTTTGCCGTATTTACCATGAAATAAAAAAATTACTCCAAAATATCGAATCTTTTGAAGATCACTGGCGGTGATATGTGTCTTCGATATGCAGTTCCTTAGTAGCCCCAAAGATGTAGAATTTGGCGAATGGAAAAGCAACGACTTCCTCGCCCGGTGGCGTAGTAAATAAGATACAAACAACCCGACAGCAGTAACTCAAAAGAATGAGGAATTGTGCTATCAAGATAAATCTGGAGACACCTCATAGATTAAAATCCATCAAGCCGTTTAAGGTCTAGATCGTGAATGTCAATATCAAGGCGGTTAAACTGCACCCCAGGAAATAGGCATTTCAAGTTTGATTTTTTCCCATTAAAATTCGCCATTTTGATTTTTATAAAATCAGTACGAGCAAATGTAGATATTTTAAAATCCATCAAGTCGTTTAGGCTGTTGGCCAGTGAAATGATTGTTCTCGCGTACGTTGCGTCCTTTCGAGAAATTAATTTATTTTATAGAAGTAAGTGGAACGAAATCGATATTGTTGCTATAGGTATTATCTAGGCTTGCGCTATTTGCTTAAAAGATATAATTAACTTTGACGTACGCAAGTACGTAATTATTGATTTTCCGATAATTACTGTCCTCACTTTGCAGACCGGCCTACAAGAAATACTCATTACAACGAGTAAATATTCATATCGCACATATGATGCGCGGCACAAACTAGTCTAATAGATCTTATTTATTTAAGTTATAGTTTCATTAATCAGATTGTCCGTGAACCGTGCCCAGTTTTCAAACTGAACGATCGAGCGGGACAGAAATTATGAATTAGCTTTCTAGTTAAATATTTCAAAAATTAATTAGAATATCGACTTCCAGCTCTGCAATGATGTGATACTGTTTAATTTTCATACGATCAGTCTTTTAACATTGTTCTATTTGTTTTTCTTTAAGAAATGAAATAATATGAGGAAACATCAACGACTGAAACCAAGAACTTCCAGCCAATTATTAAAATTAAAATAATTTTGTTAGAGAAATTTCGAGAAATAAAAACTAATTTTAAAAATTATTTAAAAAAAATTATTATTTAGTTAAAAAATCATCCCTAAAATAACTTTGTTAGAGAAATTTCGAGAAATAAAAACTAATCTTAAAAATTATTTAAAAAAAATTATTATTTAGTTAAAAAATCATCCCTAAAATAATTTTAAGAGACGGTTGATTTCCCGGAAATTTTATGGCAACTGAATGCGCCTCAAGTTTCCTATGAACAGTTTTTTCAATATTCCTTTGTTTCTGATATAAATGGAACAGAGGCGGATCATAGGCAATGCAGGAAGGGCCGTCCACTATACGTCTAGGCCCACCAATAGCGTTCTGAGCTTTTTCGCAATAAAATAATACAAAAAAAAACGTATTAACATATCGAATTTCGAATTAGAGTTCATCCAACCAACAAAATATGGTCTATTTCATTGAAACCTCGCAAATTCGATAAATTGTAGCCAAATGAGTTTTTTTAGTTAGAAGCTTTAACCAGATATTTGTATAACCCCCTGTATTTATTGAAACCTGCGTTGCAACCATTATTATGTCTACGTCACTAAGATGTATACCTGCGGCCCGCCACCGTTTATAATTGGTACCCAAACCATTACGCACTGTACCATGCGATCTAAGCACAATTTAAAAACCGCAACGAGGCGGAATCATTGTCAATAATTGTCATTATACCATACTCGGCAAAAATAACAGTAGTGGTACCGCTCAGGTGATGAACAACCAACAGTTATTTCGCTCAGTCTGCCTGGGGCAAAAAAATCGATCAGCCAGGACATAACCTTCCCTGAAATGCAGACCATGAATGAACCCACGTCAGTGTTGAAACCGCGCTTATAGCCGACGATCGTGCCGGTAGAAAAATATGTTGTCTATTATAGGACTAGTGCGCTCTTTCCTTGATACTGCCATCGATTTTTTTAACAGGGTTATACTGAGAAAGTAATTACTTTTATTGCGTAATATTTTTTTTAGTGGTTTTGTGTAATTGTCGGACCTTGCGGTGTGGAAAAAGAAAGCTTATTTTCCTTTCTATCTTTCTTCTACATATCCTTGGATATACCCGGGGCTTTCATAATTTGTAATAGGCCCCGTAGGAAGTAGTTACGTTAGGTTATGGTCAGCATTATGGAATTTTAAACATTACATCCTTCTGTAAATTTCAAAACATTCGACGCTATCAGTGAAGCTTCTGCAACTCGGTTGATGAGGCACGAAAACTACATAAACAATCAAGGAAATTATTATCTTCTGGAATATCTTGACAACGATCTAGTAATGTTGATATGATCTAGTGCTTTTCAAAAAGGATTCCCCCTACTTTCTTTCAACAGTAACGTTAGCAAGCTTATAATCGGAGTAATGAAATTGATGCATCAATACTATATTTGGCATACGAGGTGGTCCCAGAAGTACCCGACCCAATGAAGAAAACACAAAAATTTTGTAAAAAATGTATTTATTTTTCAACATAATCTCCTTTGAGCTCTATACACTTTTCCCAGCGGTGTTCAATAAGTTCGATACCCTTTTTATAATAAGAACTGTCTTGCGCCTCAAAATAGCCATTAACTGCCGACATCACTTCTTCATCGTTGGAAAATCTTCGACCACTGAGCCATTTTTTCAAGTTTGGAAACAGAAAATAATCCGAGGGAGCTAAATCTCGTGAATAGGGTGCATGAGGTAGCAATTCAAGCTTGAATACGTTAATTTTGTCCATTGCAATAACGGATTTGTGACCTGGTGCATTGTCTTGATGAAACAACACTTTCTTCTTAACCAAATGCGGCCGTTTTTGTTTAATTTCAACGCTCAAACGTTGCAATAACTTCGTATAATACTTGCCCTTGATAGTTTTACCTTTTTCAAGATAGTCAATGAAAATTATCCCACGCTGATCTCAAAAAACCGACGCCATAACCTTCCCTGGAGATGAAACGGTCTTCGCCTTCTTTGGAGCCGGTTGTCCCTTTTGAGTCAATTGTTTTGATTGTTCTTTTGTCTCGGGTGTGAAGTGATGGACCCATGTTTCATCCATGGTTATGAAACGATGCAAAAATTCTGATTTGTTGCTCTGAAACTTCGCTAAACACTCAATTGAAACATCTTCACGACACTGTTTTTGCTCGATTGTGAGCAATCGCGGAACCCATCTTGCACACAGCTTTCTCATGTCCAAATTTTCAGATAATATGCGATGAACCGCACTTTTTGAAATGCCTACTATGTCTGCTAGCTCGCGCACTTTCAGTAGACGATCATTCAGTACCGCTTTGTGAATTTTCTGCACCATTTCTGGAGTCGTCACCTCATTTGGTCGACCACTGCGATGCTCGTCTTGGCACCTCATACGGCATCGTTTAAACTCTGCTACCCAATATGTTACTGTTGTAAACGAAGGAGCAGACTCACCCAGAGTAGAATCCAGTTCAGCTTTTATATTGGTTGGGCTGAGGCCTTTGAAATAAAAGTATTGTACCACCGATGACCAATTTTCTCCATTTTCACAAATTCACTGAAAACTTTCAGTATTGATGGCTGCCAAACAAATACTAAACAACTTGACACATATGCTTTATAGGTTGCATACTTTCTAATACAATGATATTTTTCAAACAACTGTCGCCATCTCTACGTCAGGCCGGGTACTTCTGGGACCATCGCGTAAAACTGTGAAAAATCTCAGTTGACAGCTGGGCACCACTTTGGAACATTTTTTTAGATTGAATAGGTGGTCCTGTGAAACCTCATTTTGGAGCTCCTCATGAGTACTATATAGCAGGGTGCCAAAGTTGAGAGCTTTTTTTCAACCAAATGTGCCATATTTCTCCTCTCCATAAGAAGAGTGTTGTAACATGCTATTTTTTTTTTGTAATTAGCTGTTGAGTTATAAGTTATTGAATATACACATACAAAAAATGCTGATATTTGACATCCTGCTACCCCCGATATTTTGAAATATAGTGAGCCCCAAAACGAGGTATCACTTATCCCCTATTCTATTAAAAAATGTTACAAGATGGTGTTTGGGAATATCGACAAATTAAGTGTACCCTTTTGACTTACAAATACTCAAGCTTTCGACAGGCTACGCTGTCATCTTCAGGAGTCCGTCAATAAGATTGGTGCTAGTGTTTGATGTTTTAAATTGTATTTGGGAACACATGGCAAGATGATAAAAAACTGGACTTACGCGGATCCTTTTTTAAAAACGGTATAGAACATAACTATGTTTTAGTGATAAAATATGGATGGATTGCGACAGACATTGTTGATTGAATAAAATTCCTCAAAAACTTCACATATTCACTCTTGGGCACTTTGTGAGCGATGGACAGTCACAAGTCAGAAGGCGTTGGGTAAAAAGATGTAAGGTTTTCAGTTGGACGTCACGTGCCCCATACTTTCGCCCACAAACTCCCATCTTTTCGGAGCAGGTATAGCCTACTTCAAAAGCTTGCCCCGACGAGTGGGAGAATGTAGACGGCATTGAGGTGACCCAGCACATTATTAAGGAAATCCAGCGATACTGCAAATGCTCTTACTTCAAAATTCAATCACATTCATACGAAATTTCATTCAAATATCATTTTTACCGAGTGTTCTATTTCTTTGGTCACTGAGTATATGTGATCTTATAGACAGTGGGAATTGTGGCAAATATGATTGAAGATATTGGATAACGATCGTGTATATTTGTTCAAGCAAAACCCCTAAGTTCTCAGAACATATTTGCTTCTATAGTAATCACCACCTGAAAGGAGTAGCTTAATGATAGATAAAATTGATTTTGGTAAAAAAAGCCAGTGAAAGAAAAAGATATTGACATTGTCCCAAGGTACTTCGATTATCAGTTCCTGGTTTGATCTTACATAAGTTTAATGAAAATAAAATGCAGGGTAAGATACAGGTTTCATTCAATGGTTTGTGATCCGTTGCTTAGTACCTTCTGAATCTAAGGATGGAGTTCATGTAAGAACCAATAATTTTGCATAACTTACTTTTGATTTCAAACTTTCATACATAGAATACCTTGATGAATAATTAGTAAATGGGCCGAATCATTTGCCAAATAATTTGATTAGTTTTCATACTTATTATTTCTTCCTTGTCATTTGTAGCATTTTCAATTACTTGTAGTACTAAGTAATATCATGTATAGCTTGTAAGTGTTCACTGCATACTCCTTAATGATGTGAAAATACAGGCAAACTTTTTGTGAATAACAGAATCCATTAAAGCATGTCTAGTGAAACTAAGATAGGCGAGATATTTTTTGTCAGTGACTATTTGGACAATGAAGCCATGTAATGTTATAGTAGTCTAAAAATATTTTATACTTAACATGATATTTTTTTCAGGTACACTTTCGAAACTCTGACCCAAACAGCAAATTACTTGAAGAAACATGTGTCATTTACACCAAAAATAGGAATTATTTGTGGGTCTGGACTGGGTGCGTATTGGGATAAAGGTCTATTTTGCTTTTTTTTATTTTCTCGCCTTCATCATCTCTATACGCAAAAGCACCTCACATAGTTATTCATTCCATCATTTTTAATCATTTGTTCTTATATTTAAAAAAAATTATATATATATTTTATAAGTTATGGTGACATCTAAGATAAAATAAGAGCAATAAATACTACATATTGCCGTAAGCCTTGTGCTTCAAATATGCTGTATGAGAAACATGCAAAAATAGAGATTGATTTTTTGAGAGCTGTAAACATTAGAATATCTATGTAGGCCATTATCGATAAGTTCACAGTTAATCTACCTGTATATTCAGTAGATTTTACCTTATAATAAAACTAACAGCTGTCTTTTTTTCTAATTTCTACGTAATTAATTTTTTTATATATTCGCCTCCACGCTTCGGCTTGTAACTTTGCTTACTTCGCTTTTTCCTCATTTTCTCACATTTTTTCTTTTCAAAACAACTCGGTATAACTTTGTACAATTTCCAATATCGCATTGCAGGTAGTCTAGCAGACTCAGTTGAAAATAAAATAGAAATTCCCTATGAAAACATTCCTCATTTCCCAAGGAGTACAGTGAAGGGACATGTTGGTGAACTAGTATTTGGATATTTATCCGGTGTTCCAGTAGTTTGTATGAGAGGAAGGTTCCACTACTACGAAGGATATCCACTATGGAAATGTGCTATGCCTGTAAGTATATCATTTTATTTCCGACGTCAATTGGCGTGGAATAGAGATATGATGTGATTGAGAGATGAACATCATTATTTCCACTAGTCTGTCTGTCTGGTGATATTCTGTCCCTCTATAATTCAGAAAACATTGTTAGTGTAGGTTTTCAATATCGGCCCAGTAACCGTGTGGTTATGAAAAAAAGAAATTTTTTAAAACTTCCCGAAACCGAATACACGTTGCTCGTGGTAATTTGAAATTTTGATTCAGTGTGACTTCATTGTACAACTCTATGAAAAAATTAAAAATTAATTAATACTCTGAAGAGAGTCCTACATTTAATCAGATCGTAATCGTTTCCTACACGTGCATGCATTTATAAAGTATAAGCCGCTCACCAAGCTGTAAGAAAAAGCTAATCTGCAGATTAAATTATGATGGAAAACACGAATTATGATATTCTGATGTTGATTTTTTCTAAAAAGCCCTACAGATCTTTTGGCCTTACACTTATTCTCTTATAACCCAAAATAACCTTAGATTTAAATGGTAAACCTTCAACCAGGTCACACTAAATTAAAGTTTTAAAAGTGGCAAGAAATCATTTTTCTATGTTTCGTGAAATTATGTGTATGTGAATCGTTGTTTTTCTGACAGTTTTCTGCAGTCTGAATCGTGACTTATTTGTTTTGTATAAATTTCAAACATTATCTCACTCTTTATATTTCCGTTAGTCTAGCAGAACCTAACATACAGTGTGATAAATGACCTTTAATTTCAGGTACGAGTGATGAAACTTCTAGGTGTAGAACATTTGATCATCACAAATGCTGCGGGAGGTCTTAACGCCAACTACAAAGTAGGTGATATCATGTTAGTCCGAGACCACATCAATTTGATGGGTTTCGCAGGAAATAACCCTCTGCAAGGACCCAATGATGAAAGGTTCGGACCAAGGTTCCCGCCTATGAACAAAGCCTACGACAGGGACGTTATTAAAGTAGGTTGATATGCTTTTGGGTATCTTAAATTTCTCTTTTTGGAATTTGGTCACAAAAAGTCTAACTATAATGTCAAGGTTCCATTTACCAGTCACTTTTAATGGACAGTGGGGTATTGTTCACATTCCATTTCCCCGCCTCTTCGCACATGTGTCGTAAAAAATTTGAAAAAGCGTACCTACATACACCGCCTTTACGTAAAACTTCAAAATGACAAGAATAGCGATCTGATCGCCATAATACTAAAAGCAACTATCACTCACTTCATATTCAATTGTAGTAGCTGTATATTGCCTAAACGTCAAGATACTTTAGCTATGTGCTGTGGCTCTGACGTGAAGTAGCATCTGCTTCAGAAACGACACTAGCGGAGGCCATTCATAGCTTCTATAGTCTAGGCTATTCTATAGTATAGCTATAGTCAACGCCAAACAAAGTGGCGTGCACGTCATCAAGGTGGGTGTGTTGAAAAATTTACATTGTTGCCAAACTTTTTGTAAAATAATAAAATTTATTATTTACATATCTAGGTTTATAAGCAATATTAACCTCAAATGAGAACAAAAATAATAGTATAATAAAATTATAGATCTGTACTTGCATAATCATTAAGTATGACAATTATTGATCAGATGACACTATGAAACTACCATATTTAATTGATAGCTTAAAGGTACTGAATAAAAATCGAAATGGGGTCCTCCAAATTTTATGCATGGTATTTATTTTACAGAATTCATACAGAAAAATGCATTCTAAAATTAGGTAAGCTACTGGTGTAAGCTTTTTCTGTACAATAAAGTTAGTCGGAGTTTCTTTCTTCAGCGCTGTCTGAATCTGAATCTTCATCACTCTCAAAGTTGATTATTAAAGGTTCGATGTCTGGTCGATCAAAAATTCGTTCTCTTTCATACCATTTAAAAATTTCTTGCTCAGTATGTCGAACACTATTTTTCCACATGTCTGGGGTAACCGTTTGTAGAGCCTCGTTCCACATATCCAAACAGTCTTTTTCACTGTTACCATCTCTACCAATATGTCTGTTATAGTAACCTTTTGCTATGCCCCAAATTAACTCGATAGGGTTAAATATACAATGGTAAGGAGGCAGACGAAGAACTTTGTGCCCATGTTGTTCCGCCAATTCATCAATCACGTATATTTTAGGTGGTTTGTTTCTAAAAAAGCAGTTATTTTAAGAATAGGAATAAACAAAAGAAATATAAACTGTCGACCAAAATATATATAATTAAGAAGCATTATGTACCGAGCAACAATACTCAATAGCTCTGTTTTAAACATTGTGTTTAAAAATGGTATGTTTTGATTTGTCAACCAGTCTTGGATATTTTTTTTGTCCATGCATTGTTGGGCACTTTGTTCAATATCATGCTGTGATAAGGGGCGTTATCCAGTATAATCATAGATGGACTCTCCAATTTTTCTAATAACTGATGTTGAAACCATTTCAAAAAATTGTCCTGGTTCAATCGCTCAATTTTGTTTTCCAAGAAAATATCGCTTCACTACCCTCAATAAACCCATTTTCATTTCCAGCATGTAATATAATGTATCTAAAATATATTAGTTTTAAATTTTATAGTGCAAATTGTGTAAAAGTACATACCTTTTACCATCTGTTTTAATAGCTTTCACGCTTTTTTGGTTTCCATTTTGCCAAGAGCGACCTATGGTCCCATTTTGAAATATCCAAGTTTCATCGAGGAAGACAAACTGGTATAAGGCCTCAACCTTGGCTTGATTGTATTGCCTTAGAAATTCCACCCTTTTCAAAGCTATACTTGGTAGTTCCATGAGCCCTCGTCGCGGATTGTCCTTAAGCCACTTAAATCCAAGATCTCTAAGCAACCGCCTTAAAGACGTGGCACTACCATCAAATAATGCCCTATCTCTTAATCGAGACCATAAAGTTTGTATCGTAACTTGTTCTTCTGAAACCATGTGTAATATGACATTATAATTTAGTTAACAAATTAATGCAAATTTCTGATAAGTTATTATAATAAGATCTTACTTTTGTGATACATATTATAGATCACTTCTCGAATGGCACTTGTATCCAATGTCGCTGTGTTGGTTACACGTTTAATATAACTCCGCTTTTTCTTGGGCGATTCTAAATTTGCATCACTTTTCACACCCTCGGAAATACGACTAACTGTCCTTAAACGAATTTTTAAAGCAGCAGCAACACGCTACAAAAAATGAAATAAAATTTCACTATTATTAATATACATTACATATAATTATTAGTAACCTACCTCTTGAACAGCATTTAAAGGCAACAAAGGCCCGTTGTTGTCCCTTTCTTGCTCAAAGTAGTGCATTAACGAGGCCACGAGTTCCTTACACCGACTATTTAACTGTTTGGGCATATTTATATACCAAAATTGCCTTTATCTACTCGTAAAATGAATAATTTTGTTTTGAAACAAACAGTTGTTGATTTACAGTATGCGGGGCCAAAGGATTTATAAAGATTTGAAATGCCACAAATTGATTCAGTGTCAAAATTAATACAAATGTCAGTTCCCAGTTTAAATAAGTTTCAAGGTGACAATGTGTCAACGCTGCGAAATCGGTTTAGTGCGTTTACATGTCGATAAGTGATTGGAGCGTTTGCAAAACATTTTATTTCGCATAATGCGTCTAAATTTATCAGAAAGCAACTTATGTGATATTTTAATAACAATGTTTATATGACTATTAACCATAATAAGAGAGTAATGACCATTTTACAATTTATATATCACATTAATATGAAACAGCAATAGAGCAATTGTTTGTGATAGAAACCTAGGCATTAGGTCGGGGAATTTTTATCGTGATGACGTGCACGCCACTTTGTTTGGCGTTGACTATAGTTGTACACGTTCCTACATTGGTGGCAGTTACAGCAAGTACGCATGGCGTGAGCTAGCGACTAGCTAGTACACAAGTAGCAACCATGATGATCAGAACTTATTTCCAGTGATTTTTGGTTTGATAGTGATACGCTCCCGCATGGGTATCATGTAAAAAACCTATAAAACGTCAAAAAAAACCTATAAGATGTCATCTTGCATACTAGGTAGCTTTTAAGGCGTAAACAGTCATTCCACGTTTGCTCAATCGGATCATTGTGAACGTCCATCTAAGGAAGAATCACTCAACTAAACTACACGCACTATTGGTTGCATATGTTTTGTGAGGTCAAATGATCCTTGTCTGTAGTTTTTATCTCTGAGAAGAAAGTTGGTTGAATAGCATCTGGATGATTATGTGTATTGGTCTGCATGTGAATAAAATCAGTGATATTTGCTGTGTGAGAAAATCATTACTGAATATGCTGCCAGTGAAGTATATCTATTGGCTATGCCCGATGGGTTATTTTTATATTGTTCTTTCTGAAGAGAGGTTATGTTCAAAGTTATAAATTACGAAAAACTGAGGAGAATTACGGGAAATCATTACCGCGCCCACGTTGTGTGTAATTGCTGTTAGCATGTATATGGCTTGTAATTCGACAGAGTACAATGAATATAATTATTTCTTATCTCTCTCATTTTTGAAATTCAGCAAATTTGTATATGTAGTTTACAGAATGGATAAGAAAAAGTGGATGCGCAACTAATTTCTAGCTTTGAATCTCAATTAAGTGTATTTGAGACAAGAACTCAATGTAATTATCATCAACACATACAACTTACAGCTTAGACCTCCAGTAATGCCATCTGGGAAGCAGATTTTTCATCCCATCAGAGCCAAAGATTAATAACAAGCCTCATGACGTTTAGGCAACACGTACAACTAAGTGCTAAATCAACGTTTTGGCGAAAAACCTACATAATGTAAAAAAAATCAGCATAATGTCAAAAATAATCGGCATAATGTCACATTTCAAAATACGTGATACCCGT